ATGTAACCCACTCAGAAACACTCTTAATATTTTCCTTTCAAAATATCTGAATGATCTTAAGGGATATACCAGTAATCAATGAAAATGAAGCTGGAATATACAGCACTGGAAAACATCGCTTTGAGCACATTCAGTTTACTTAACACTCTTTCAGTGCTACAGCTTTCCTTATTTCTTTTCTCAATCTAAAAATTTAAATTTTAGGAATTTTAAATAACAATTTGAATAGAATAAACTATTTAATCAAAACAAGTACCATAAAGTGTGTCAAGTCATTAAAAATCACTAAATAAATAAAATTATATATCAGGTGCTCCTGATCATAGAAAAAAAACTTAACCTTTCTATTTCAGTTTTACAGCCATCTTGTACTTGTTTCCTGGTAACTTGTACTATATCAGCAGGAGTGTACTGCAATAAACCAAACCTAACCTAATTAGCTCTGTGGTATATTGTAATATATAAACCTGGCCTAATTAGCTCTGCCTAATCAGCTCTGTGGTATATTGTAATATATAAACCTGGCCTAATTAGCTCTGCCTAATCAGCTCTGTGGTGTATCGTAACATAATCCTAACCTAATTAGCTCAACCTATTGTATTGGTGTATTATAATATATAAACCTAACTTAATTAGCTCTGAGGTGTACTGTAATCTATAAACCTAACCGAATTAGCTCAGCCTAATTAGCTCTGTGGTATATTGTAATATATAAACCTGGCCTAATTAGCTCTGCCTAATCAGCTCTGTGGTGTATCGTAACATAATCCTAACCTAATTAGCTCAACCTATTGTATTGGTGTATTATAATATATAAACCTAACTTAATTAGCTCTGAGGTGTACTGTAATCTATAAACCTAACCTAATTAGCTCAACCTAATTAGCTCTGTGGTGTATTGTTCTTTATAAACCTAACCTAATTAGCTCTGTAGCTCTGTGGTGTATTGTAACATAATCCTAACCGAATTAGCTCAACCTAATTAGCTCTGTGGTGTATTGTAATATATAAAACCTAACCTAATTAGCTCTGTGGTGTATTGTAATATATATACCTAACTTAATTAGCTCTGTGGTGTATTGTAATATATAACCTAACCTAATTAGCTCAGCCTAATTAGCTCTGTGATGTATTGTAATATATAAAACCTAACTTAATTAGCTGTGTGGTGTATTGTAATATTAGCTCTGTGGTGTATTGTAATATATAAACCTAACCTCATTAGCTCTGTGGTGTATTGTAAACCTTAATTAAACTTAATTAGCTTTGTGGACCTTTGTAATATACCAAAATAACTATGTGAACTTTACATAGGTAACAAGTTTAATAGATTATTATAATAACCCTGGTTAGTTTATCCCTGAAAGAATTCAACTGATCAAAGGTACATAACTCTATCTATAAATCAGACCCAATTTAATGTATTTCTATATCATACTCAGCATCAAATGTAATGAAGGTGCAGATGGAAACATGGTTGTAAAATCTATAGGAATATTTTCTAACAGTTTAGAGATTGAGCACTGGTTAAACCATCAAAGCTGTATAATTCAACTTTTACTAGTGTATATAGAGACAATGAAATTACCTTAACAAGACTGGCCTGTCTTCGAAAATAAACCGAGCCCTCTTCGTTCTCATGTATAGGATGTAGATTCAATATACTTCCCACACCATCTTTATTTCTACTATCAGAGGGATCCCAGCCTTTTATAGTTATTTCTATTACATAATCAGCTACCAGTACACCCTAGTACATAATATACAAAAAAATAGAGCAAAATTGAATTAGTTAATGCATTATCAATTCAGGTATTTGTTTTCAGAGAACTTTAGAATGCTGATTATAATTCAAGAGTTTATTGAAAAAAAACTTACACAATTGGTCTGTGCCATACAGTCATTATCACACCAACAATAATGATGTGTTCTGTACATGTGTTCTCTTGTTCTTCCACACTGATCAACCATTAGACTAATAATTAACAGATATAGATTATCAAGCTATTCACACTATACCAAGCCTATCAGCTTTCAACTATATTTTCAACTGAGTAAGATGCTACACAAATATTTGTCCCAGAAGTTAGAGTGCTGGCACAAAAAAGTTAAAAGATGTACAAATTGATATGACTAATTTTTGAAGCCTTTATCACTTATTAGATTGCAATTAGGTATGTTTCTGCCAATGTTTATTCTTCAAAATTAAATCAAAAAAGCTATTGGGATGACTCTTTAGCACATCAAATCAATATTTAAATTCCACTCCAAACATTCAGACAGAAGAATAAGACCTGTATATGAATTTAAACCAGCGATACATACCTAGAATCATAATTACATTGTTGAGCTATCTGTGATGGTGTACATCCTTTATCTATAACTGGTATAAATCGGACTTTATATCTATGTGATAATACAGGAGGGTTATATCTACTCATTAAATCTTGAAGACTTCCAACAACATGGTCTTTCTGTAATAAATCAATACAATTTTAAAATTCCTAAAAAATAGTCTTTGTGACAATGCATACTAAAGTTTTTGATTCCCTTGGGCTTTATAGATGTGAACATGCCAAATTACAAGGTGATTTTTCATCCCAACCGCCCTATAGCCCTTATGCCCTCAACCGCTAATTAAAATTTGTGCTAAAATTAGTATCATTTATTCTAGGAATCACAGGTTGCATACTTACAATAAACGAAACATTTTCATTTTGGCAGAATTTGGTGACATCAATGTTATGGAATCACAGATTTTTTTAAAAAAGAAAAATTATATATTATTACTTAATCAGAATCAGCAAGAAAAATAATTTGTATAAGCATAACCTAGCCGGTAACAATAGTTGTTATATTTTGACCAAATATATTCACAATACCTGGTAATGGGTGAGCTTTAATCCGATTGATTTACCACAGTCGATTATACCTAAATAAATCATTCCTCCATTTCCAGTATTTAAAAACCCATTAATTGCCCTTAAAATAAATTATAGAAATATATCATAACTACTGGTGATAACGGTACAGAATCTGAATCTGTATCAATTCTATTCAAAACTAACTGACTTATTAATCAGAACAAAAAATCAATTTAGCAGTAAGGCTTAAAACTCAATAAATTTTTTCAAATAATAACATCACAAAGGAAATAATAGATCATTCGAAATTTTAAATGTTTTCTCGAGTCAAAAGTTTTAATCCCGACCTACAACCTAGAGCCTATTGGACAGAATTTCCGAAGCAAGTGAGCTTTTCAGTATCAGTTGTTTGATCTTTACCTTGAAACGGCTTTCCTAGATGCTTTCTCTGTTCGTGAATTTACTTGAGTCCATGGAGGTAACTCTTCTACACACAGGTTTCTATGACCCTTAAATTCATGACTAGCATCTTCTTCAAAAGGTACAATATTTCCACGAATGTAATAACGCTTAGACTTTTGTTTAGAAGACATAGCTTCAAGAAAACAGACCTCACACAAATATTTCCTTGATGTGATAGCTGCAAAATAATAAAAAACAAAGTAATAGTAGATCTATATAATAATAATCTATTGTGAAGACAAGTATTAACATTAACGGACTTTCAAATTTATACCATTGTATAGACATTATACTAAATAACTGTAATCTGTAGCCAGCAACTCAGTTTAACAAGAGTAGTCTCCCTTGGAACACTATTCAGAGGGAAAAGACTCTTTTTGTTTGTTGAATTCATCTTATGCAACCCGTGCCTTCATGCTACATAAACCGAACACTTCAACAAAACGAGAATTACCATTCATTTACTTTCTAACCTTGGTATATTTCTAAACTAACTTTACATTGCGTTCTTCGAAAATGCTCTCATCTCGTTTCACTGATAAGTTCCGTACAAAAAAAAAGAGATCATTTTGAAATCTGACTTTAAAAACAGCAGACAATTTAAATGAATTAATGTTGTTTTACAGTTTAAAATCACTTTAATACCCGGATTTATCTTATCATCATAGTTATTAAAAGTGCACCCAAACTTCCCGGCAGGTTTTGTACGTATCCATAATATTTCGATTATCCAGACATTTCAAATATTTCAATGTAAAATAAACTGCTGGATGATCAAGGCCATGAACAAATAATCGAAAGTAGATATCTGGATTTTAAAAAAATGTCTCTGGATAATGCGAACCCTGTAGTCTTCCAGAAAACAACCGAAAGAGAAATCCTACCAGAAGATGAAGACAATGACGTACTTGACGAAATAGATGACCGAGAAGTGTATGATATCCTTTTTAGGAATACACACAAATACACAATGTTTTGTTCACACTCCTCCACTTTAAGTCCATTTAACCATTTTTTATATTTTTGGGCAGGAGTATATTTGCAATTGAGCTGATGAGGGTTGAGTAACTGAAACACATGTCTGCAACATGTTATGAGTTAAAGTCTTGTAGAATTTTGGAGTTATACCTGTGCCTGTGCCCCTGTGGTTAATCTCAGTCTCAATCTGTTCTTGCTGATGTTGATTTGTACGTGTTGCATACACCGTGCTGGCACTGTTGCAGTTTTGATCCCTGTCCCTTCCCTACAGATTTATATACCAGTTTGGAGATAAGCTCACTATATAGACTCATATAGACCTTCCCTCACAGACAGTCACTCTCTTTCTATAATTTCAATGAATTAGAATACATTGTTTTCAAGCTATGCTCTAGTAGGTATAATTACCTGTGATTGATATGTGAATAATCATGTCCATATGACATGGTCCGTTCTGTTAATCTAGAATTTCTAGCTAGGTTATAAGTTGATGATGGCCTACTTACCCTTCAAGAACCTATGATCCCAGTCATTCATTATCATGAGAGTTCTCCGATTCTAAGTCCAGCACACTATAAGTTGACTTTATTTGAATACATTCCAATTGCTATATCATTGATGTATTCCTTAACCAAAGTAAATCTAATAAGATCTATAAATGATCCTGAACATCCCTTGACGTTAGAAGAATTAAATGTAGTTGACCATGCTAATGTTCATGTAAGTAATAACAAGAGAATCCTTTATGTAATATGACCAATGAGTAATGTGTTATAGATGAAGTTACTTATTTTGTCTTTCCAAAAAAAAAACCTAATTGTAAATGGCGAGGCAATATTTGGATGATCAAACTGAATATCAATTTGGTGGGCCATGGATCAGCTTGTAAAAAAAGATCTTTAATAGTTGTTATCCTTTGAAATATGAATATTTCTTTTTATATTTTATGTAATTTCCACTAGTATCTAGAGACTTGAGATTTTTTTTTTGACTATTTTAGGTTGACAATAAGAAAAATAAGATTTCTATATCATTCACACCAACGATTCCACACTGTAGTATGGCTACTTTAATAGGTTTATCTATTAGAGTAAAGTTACTGCGAGCGTTGCCACCAAGATTTAAGGTATGTTCTCTTCTCATGTTTTATCTTGATAAGAAACCCTGAAGATTTAAAATCTATAAAGTGAATAGATAATCTAGAGATTATCTTATGTAGACTTTATAACTTAAGACAAATTCTTCACAATTTCCTTACTTTGTGCCTAGCATTTCTTTGTATTAGTAATTTTGTAAAGATATATCTAGTTTTCAGCTTTTACAAAGTTGGTTTATGTGAATTATTGAATTCCCCTTTTGATTCAGAATCTTTTCTGACACCAAACTTTCATATTTCATATTCTGTTTGCTGAAACTTTTGAATCCTATGGAAACCAACTTGAAATAATTTCCAATATGATTTTAATGATTGGCTGTAATAGCAGTAAAATAATTTGATTATTATTTTATTATTGTAATATAGACAGCAATAGTAATAATATTGATTATAATAATTATTCTAATCATTATCATGAAAATGAAAGCACATATATAGCACAAATCCAAAATTGTGTTCTGTCTGCACTCAATAGACATAAGATATCTCTAAAGATAAAGTTACCTAATGACACCATATACACTGAGAACCAAAACCTGATATCACCCTTCCTTAATTAGACTTTGCAATTACTTAAAAACTTCATAGACAAATTAAAATCAATATTAACTTCTTACATGAAGAATCTTCCCTTTCAATATAATGAATATACATTAAAGTTAATGATCTGTTTGAATAGAAACAATTCACCAATTTCAATGAATACTAATTAATCAAGTTGTCATAAGATACGACTTTTATGTCACTTTAGAGTCAATTTTGAAGTTTTTGAAAAGCAAGGTAAAATTTGAGATACTGGTAATGGCAAGAGCCTTGATAAGGTCATTTTTTCTAATTATAAAAAAGTGTGACCATTGTTATCTTCCATTACTGTGGTCTTCTGAACTTAAAACCTTATCTGTCATTTCATATTATAGGCACAGTTACAAGTGATTTAATGTAAACTAAATTAACTCATTGAAAGTGTTGATAAGTATGAAATATAACGCTTTGCCCTAGTAACTCGAATGAGATATATTGGTAATGATATATATTGTAAATGAGATATATTGAGATATATTGTTAATGAGATATATTGTTAATGATATATAATGTAAATGAGATATGTTGTTAATGATATATATTGTTAATGAGATATATTGTTAATGATATATATTGTTAATGAGATATATTGTTAATGATATATATTGTAAATGAGATATATTGTTAATGATATATATTGTTAATGAGATATATTGTTAATGATATATATATTGTAAATGAGATATATTGTTAATGATATATATTGTAAATGCAATATATTGAGATATATTGTTAATGATATATTAGCTTATTGTAAATGAGATATATTGAGATATATTGTAAATGAGATATATATATATATATATATAATATTGTAAATGAGATATATTGTTAATGAGATATATTGTAAATGAGATATATTGTTAATGAGATAATGATGATAACTATGAGGTTTATATTGAAGGTTGATGTACAGATATCACCTGGTAGCCATGCATCAGAAGAGGCAGGTTAGTATGTTTATTGTACTCCTATAGGTAGATACTGACCATCTTATAGGTAGTTAATGTGATAAAAGTTTTAATGCCCCACCTTTATTCACCTATTTGGGCTAATGAAGCAGGAAATTTTGAAGACTATATTATTATATTTGAGCCCCTCTAACCTGGATCACTGACACTAAGGATGCGGGGAAACCTGGTTAAAATATCCAAAGGATTAAAAACCAGAGGTTCAGATCAGGGAGCCAAACTGTAACTCACTGAGTCACCATGGCTCCAATGACTAGATATTAGATATTTATAACACAATTTAGGATTAATGCTTGTGGTTGAATTCCCTGCTATTGAAGCAACTAGAGTCTAGTAGAAAAGATTACAATCCTATTGTCCCCAGAGTTTTTCATTCATTTCTTCTATTATTTATTCAGATTGGAAATTAATCTTTTTTTTTCTATGAATAATTCGTGATTAGATATTCAAAATTTGAATAATAAGGAAACATCTATTTTTCATAGTTTTAGTTTTGGATGCTTAATTAGGGATTAGACGTTGAAAGTAACTTTTGACATTATACTTCTATTGTTTATGTATTTCCAGTCAATAAACAACTTGCTGATAAAGAAAGAGTTGCAGCTGCTTTAGAAAATTCTCACCTATTGAAAGTTGTGAATGAATGTTTAACAATTAGAGAAAAATGATATTTATAATACAAAATATGCCATTAAAAGTATTAAAGTTCATGGTAAACATTATAAGGCGTTTGTAAATGTGTACATAGCTTAATGCTTTCAAATTAATCAAAGCCATACAAATTTTTGTGATAATAAGAAATCCATTGTAAGGAATTCCTTTATCAAATTCCAGGAAAATTAAAGATTTAAATGAAACATATAACTTAATGAAATATGAAAATAAGACATAAAATAAATATTGATGGAAATTGGTAATGCCTAGATATGACATATTAATGGAAATTGGTCTAGCCTAAATATTAAATATTGATGGAATTTGGTCTAGCCTGGATATTAAATATTCATGGATAATGGTATAACCTAGATATTAAATATTGATGGAATTTGGTATGGCCTAGACATTATATATTGATGGAAATTGGTATGGCCTGGATATTAAATATTCATGGAACATGGTGTAGCCTAAATATTTAATATTGATGAAAACTGGTATAGCCTAAATGTTAGATATTGATGGAATTTGGTATAGCTTAGATATTAAATATTGATGGATAATGATATGGCCTAGACTTCTGTGAAATATTGATGGAAAATGGTATGGCCTAGATTGATGGAACAAATTAATTTTTTATTTATTGTTTTAAATTTGAAATAAAGGTAAAAAAATGTACACCAATGGCATTAAGTAAGGAAACAATCAATATTTTATGCCCCCCCGAGTCTTACCCAAAAGTACTTTGTAAAGGGATCCTCAGACCATAGCGATCACCTGTTGTTATTGCCATCACGAGTTGTGTATGGTCGTGAATAACGATCACGAGTTGTGTATGGTTGGGAATAGCGATCACGAGTTGTGTATGGTTGTGAATAGCGATCACGAGTTGTGTATGGTTGTTAATAGCGATCAAGAGTTGTGTATGGTTGTTAATAGCGATCACGAGTTGTGTATGGTTGTGAATAGCTATCACGAGTTGCATATGTGCAGAAGAATAGCGGTCATAAGTTTTGCAGCCATCATGTAACTGAATTGTAATAATAATAATATTCATAATGATAATAATAATGATAATAATCATTTTATTAGGGTAAGAAATTATGCTTAAAATATCTTTTTTGCATTTCGCCGTGGGAGTTGCGTTCGGTACTAATGATCACTTTCATTATTCGCAACCATATGCAACTGGCAATCACTATGGTGTCATAGCACCTTAAGCAGATAAATGAATTAGTCTAATGATTTTATGGTTTAATCAAATATTTAATGTCGAAATAATGCATCTGCCGTTTCATCAATTGTTCTGGTATTGATGTCTTTCATGAGCTTAAACAGTATCCATAAATATATGACAGTTTAAAAATTACACTTGCAGTAATATTGATAACAAACGGTTAGATAATCGATATTATTATGTTATTCTTTTTAATATATTATTAGACTTTTGTCTGGGGAGAAAGATCTCTTTTAGTTTAGAAATAAAAGGTGTATGAATAATAGCTGATGTGATGTTGACTGGGTCGGTCTGCCCTTGTGAATCTGCCACTAAAATATCTGATCTGATAGAGCTTAAATTCAAGAAGCCTTTTCCGAATTTAATCTTACAATTTTCTTGCAATAGAAATGTAGTTCTGTGGAAACGTACTGGCGTCAAATTACACTCAAAATATTTTATTTTGGGTATTCTCAATCGACAATGAGTTTGATTTTTTGGGGGTTTTGTTTTTCAAGTACAAAGCACAAGTATGTACACATCATTTGAAATTATCCATGTTACTATAACTGCTTGTAATATCGCTTTCATAAGCTAACAATTCACTATTCTATTCTATTCTATTTCTCTGGATTTTGTTACACGTTTACATCTAAGATCACAGATTATAATGGAAAGAAAAAATGCCACAATGCAGATGGAGCCACAAACTCCCATCGTTATAGCTGATGGTCTTTCATCTGGTACACTGATAAACCGACGCTTATAAGATGATAAATTATGAATATCCAGTTTGATGTCTCGAGCCCTATCTGAAAAGGTAAAATATATATCAACTACTGGAAAAACCTAGAATATGATTGCACAATTTATTTTAATTAACTGTTACGTTTGATATTGTTTGTATTTTCTTTTGAACATGCAGCTTTAAGCTTTGAATATGTCTGATAAACCTACGACTGCAAATTTCTTTGATGTGCATTGCATTTGGGTATTCTAAACTCTGTAAAAACTCGTCCACGGTCATTATCTTATACATAGATCAATATTCAGAAAAACAGACTGTACCTATAATATTTTTGTAGTTCTCTGAGATCTCTAATATGTGTGTTTTATTTGTAGATGAAACCATACTGTGGTCAGCCAGTGTTGTTTCTAAAATTGTGGTTTGAAGAATAGTAGAATAAGGTTTTTCATCCAACGATGTAAAGGCAGCAATTTCTTTTTCACAAGAGCAAGACGATGCTTCACACTCAGTTATCGCTTTTGTTTCTGCTGAAACACAAATCGTCTCTGTAGTTGTTGCTGTATATGTCATTGTCATTGCTGAAGATGTGCCCGAATTTGTCATTTCAACCAAAGGTAATACACTGGTTGGACAAACTGTCAACATAACTGTTTCTGTCAACATAACTGTTTCTGTCGACGGACTTGGCGTTTGCCATACTGTGGTATGGCAAGAAGAGGCAGTTTTCATATCTGGTCCATTTTCGGTGTATGGTGATGGTTCAGCAGTATTTTGTGGACGGCACTGTGGATCAGCCATCAATTCATTTCTGTGGTTATCAATAACAACGGCAATCTTCTCAACTGAAACGAATTGAGAGAATTACATCATTTAAATAAAATTTAAATTGGATAAATGCACTAACAAAATGCAAAGTGGCATTGGGTGATCAGATAGGACAAGCATATTTTACCACCCGCTGCACAGCATTCTTCGTGGTATTCCTATAATAACTCATGAGCTCGACTCACTTACCACTGAAGCAATCTTTATGATATACAGTCGTGTTTTCGTTGTCAATAATGTTGTTATTGTTATAAGATGCTAAAGGTATGATATCTGTTGTATACAAGGCACAGGATTGGTTATCATCATGGTATACAACTCCTGAACACTCTGTCGCATTCATTTCAAACCACAGACATATCTGAAGACAATTTTGTAATGCGATGGATAATATTAAAACAGGCGAAAGTTCATTGTTCGCCGATTTTCTTTCGAATTGACCAAAGCTACATTCACCTGTAAGATGCAAAGGCACTAATAAAAATATTAACTCATAAACAGGAAATAGTTGTGGTAATTCCAAAGAGTTGCAAACTATTATGCCATGGTGAAAATGATCTTTGTCTTGACTGGTAACAAAGCATATGGCGGTCACGATGTTCAACAAAATACGCGTTTTACTTTTTAGCCCCATACTTTTGGTGATGGACAATTTTTACTGTATGCTGTAGGGGTTTCAGATGTAATAAAAATATAACGAAATCGTCATTTGATGATAGCCGGTGTATAAGTCAAATTTACTCACATATCTTTGAAAAGAAAGAGAAAATTTCATAATTTAGACATAGACACTAATACATTCTTCAAAAATAAATGAAATGAGTTAACTACAAATAAAGTCTTCACAAAAGCGTTTAGATTTGTAAGATTTTTATCAATATTAAAACCTTTCTGCTATGAAAATGCAACTTATCAATAGAATTTACATTATATTATTTATTCTCCTCTCTAAATGTATAATTAAATGGTAAGGGGTTATTTAGATACTATTTTTATCAAATATAAAGTAATTCGCTTACCTTTTTTAATTTCGCATATAATTTGAAATTCTGCATAATTACAATTTTTGTCACTAAGATTATCCACTTTGTACCTAAAACAGTATTGATCCACAGTTGGTACTTCGTGTGCTGTTTTAGGATATGTAACTGTGCTTCCATCTTGCCAGACCCATGTTCCATTCCCTCGAGATGAATCATATATCCCTACCCAAAACTCTGGATATCTGAAAGACCGTATTATTGTCAATTTCAGAGTTTTAAGTGACATACTCCGAGATTCTCAGTTCTAATCCAAAAAAGGGCATGGAACAAAAGGGTTGTAAAAGTGGCAACTGAATACTGAAGAGGTCTACTAATCCTATACAACATATTAGCGTGAATTAATATCATCTAATAACCTGATAACCCTACAGAGAAACCAGATACCACTGGGATATCCATATAGGTGAATTATAAGCTCTTTGATTATAGATTAGAACCACATAAGCAATGATCAAGAGTCCACACCATGAACAAAATCGGTTTTTTTTTTTTCGTTTTTTTCGTTTTTTTTTTTCGTTTTTTCTTTCTTTTCGATGGAAACTTACAAATCTAATTCGCTTCTTTTGTTAAGAAGCTCCTTTAATTTATATTCAGTATCTGGTTGGACGATTCTACCGTTCATATTACAACATATCTGGTAGGCATCGTTCCACGTGCCAGTGTTATTTACATTGACCAGTACAGTATTGGACGTTGGTAAACTATTTATTAACTCTGAAAATAAAAGAACGAAAAACCAAAGTAGGCATACTAACTAACTAGCATATTGACAATACATATACATTGGCAGCAGCTAATGAACTTTTTATTTAAGGCGTTACACAATGATAAATGAGGAAGTATATTTCACAATGAAAGGTGGTATGAGGTGTCTTCGCATATCCAGTCTGGCGCCATATACCCGCCATAGATATAAATTATAGAAATTACATATAAAGTGCGCATAGCATGTCGGAGCATATAACAGCATAGCCGTTCATAGTCAATATTTCTTCATCGTTAAAATTTGGTTATTTGTGAAATGTCCGTTTGCATATTTTTTATCATGTTTTTTAGCAACGGTGTACGACGTTTATGACTTAGAAAAAATGTCGCATACCTTTGCTAAAGGATCTTGATTTCTTATGGGCATGTTAATCGTCTAGCTGCAAATTACATTGCGTAATGAGGTCTATTATATATGCAGGTGACAGTGCTTCCGTTGTATAAAAAAGTTGCATAACAATAACCAATCAATTATAGCATGCAGCCTTCAGATTAAATGTTATAAAGAAGACCAAAACTCCCAGTATTGGAATATTATTCAATTTATTCTTGGTTATCATTTTAAAATCTAAAATAAAAACTTCCAATTTTTTCATAATCAGGCCTTTTCAGAAACACTATTAGTTACTTTCTGTTGATATTAAGGTTAGTTCACAGAATCTATTTGATTTGTTCCCAACTGAAACCAGACCATTAATTAAAATTTCTAAGAACGGAATATACAGATCTAGGTTTTCTTATTTTGATTAATATATCAATATTAAAGAGATTGTAGGGAGGTTTTCTCAATATGTATATGTTTATCAGGAACACTGATAGCATCAATTTGCATCATTCTAATTTTAGGTTGGTCTGTAGTTCCTGCCATTCACAAAAAAAATAGTGTTCGTTGACGTCATTAATCGCCAACTATCACGTAAGGCCGCCCGCGATTAGTGGTGTCATTAAACACTTAGTTTTAATGAAATTGAAGGAACCACAGACGTCTGATTGAAAATTGGTGAAAAATTGATGCTAACAGAGAAAACCTCTTTACTGTCCCTTTTACGCAGCTTTTACACCTCCAATAGTTCAAGACTCTGTATTTATTTGACATATTTGTTTCATTTTTGAAGATCTGAGAGCAACTGACTGGGCAACTATGCGATCATAGCATCTTCAGAAAAATCTTTCACATTTATGTACTGTCTGGAATCTTAGTCGTTGTGTTGGCAACATGTTTATCTGGGACATTATCGTTTCAAAATTTATAACTTTCGACAGGGTAGACCTATGTTTTTGGAATTTAATTTTAAAGTAATGTTGAAATGTTACGATATGTAAATTCAACCCATCCTTTGTTTGGGATGTTCCCAGCATTTACCAAATTAAAAAAAAACAGACGTCAAATAATTCTAGTGACCATTTTGGACTAAACAATGTTAACTTTAATTACATTAATGATAAAATACTCAAAATCGTTTTGATTCTTACCTACAAGCATACTCAAGAAATAAAGTTCCCAAAGCATTATGTTCTGTCACTCTCGGGTACACGACGGTGAATGCGTTCTCTATTGACTAAACCATATAACTTGATCACTTGAGGTGGAAACACGACCAACGCTCTATTATTTGATTTCTTAATCGATTTCACGACAATAATTAAAGTTTTCATGGTCGCGATGTATAAACAATAATTTCAAGCACCGTCCGTAGATACTTTGTTTAAGCTCTATTGATTAGGCCAAGAGTTCAGGTGGAACTGGTTTAAAGAATGAGAGAGGGAGCTTAACAATGCCCATTTAAACCCAGTCGTCAAGACAATTCATATAGATACATGGTGCGGCTTTTAAGTCCTTATGATTTGACTTAGGGTTCAAGCGGTTACCCTCCATTCCAAACCAGTCGTCGAGCACAAATGGTAGGCCTACAGATGGTGTTGTTTTTCAGCCTCAATGATTGGGATTCAACCGGCAATGATGTCTGTCTTCCAAAGCATATCAGAGAGGCACTATATATTGATAGATTAACCCTATTCCAAACCAGTCGTCCCGGTAGGTATTCAGACAGTTTCTCGGGACGGATAACTAATCGTACCGTACCAAATTTTGTTGTTGTTGTCACATTTCAAATAATTATGAGGGCAATAAGAGTAAATTTCTTCTTGGTGAGTTTCCAGATGCAACACGGACCTAATTCTAATTGATTTGATCTGTTACACACTGCTCGGCTTAAATATCTTTATAAATAATTAGGAGCAGAAAGGTAAGACGTAAAACTCTGTTAATTTTTTGCAGATTCCTACGAAACAAAGCACCCGGCCTTGTTACCAGAATGTAAGAACTACACGTAATTTTGTAATTATGTCGGGAAATTGTTCCATTAACGGAATATTACCTGTTGATCACGACTATTACTGCATGTGTCTGGATGATTGAGGTTATTCATAAGCTGGTATTCACTAATCAGCTCCAGTCTTTCCAACGAAATTTTGAAGGGTTCTTTCTTTAATCGTGTCGTTTGAAGGAATTTGGGTGTGACAATACTAAAGTATTCAATATTCTGTACAAGCGATAATTCAAACATCACAAAAATCTGAAGCACGACGATTTAATAACGTGTCGAGTCAGATTAGTGGGAGATTATTTATCACCGACCAGTTCCTGTCTTGTTTCAACATGGCCACCTTAGCAGCTGTTCGATTCACTGGACGGGTGTGCAGTAAATTTAAGTTTAACAGTATTAAAACGACCTTTATATCATGTCAAAGTCATCGTAATTTTGGAACAACCAGAAGACTGTCGGCTGGTAAGTGCAATTTGCATGTCGACTTCAGTAACGTTGGTGTTTCTGCAAAACAACAGAAACTCAAAGCAAAAGTTTAGTACCAAAAAAAACCTTCTATTCCTGGGTTGCCAGATTATGCTTGCTTTATATGTTAACTTCAGGTTTGCGATTTATTCATTTATATTGTTCTAACATTAATAGACAGACCCTTTTCAAAACTTCACAAGTAACAATGTAAAATCTACTCTTTATGATGATAGGAAATCATTTTCCATTTCTGGCTTCTGTTATGCAAGTTTTGCAATTCTGTGCCTCTAACAATGTGTTGGCTCTTTAGTTTTGATCCAACAAAATCTTGTTTGAATTACAGGCCGTTTTTTTACTCAACAACATGAATGGATAGATGTAGATAAAAATAACATAGGTACAGTTGGCATCTCACAATATGCTCAGGTAAGGATACAGATGCCAGCAAGAGAGTCTAGGCTATATATTGTTCTGAAAACTTGTTGAAATTTTGCCTTAAAATCTTTAATAAAAGGCCCATAATTCATTTCTTTCTCAATGATTTGACAAGTGTTAACTATATTAAACACGAAACTATGTGAAACATTTATAAAAAATAAAATGTCACATAAAAACATTTTGACACTATGCCAAGGTAACAAATTAATTAATTGTCAATATTTTATAAATATTTCATTTTTTATTATTCATTCAGTATTGAATTGCATGCCTTGTTGTAGCCCCCTGAAGACTAGATATGATCCTGAGTGACTACCAATAAGAGATTTTGTATTATTATGCAGGCCTATCTACTTCCATGCCTTTCAAAATGTAAATCTATTATCTATGTATTCCTGGTAAAATCTGATATCCTTGAAACAACTACTTTTCGAAGGAATGGGTACAAATTATTAAAAATAATTATATTGTATTAAAGAGAGGGCTAAACCAAGGTTGAGGTCCTTGAAAACTGAATCGTTATCTATGTAAAGTATGGCATTATGTATCATATTATATTGTAGGATAAACTAGGTGAAGTAGTATATGTACAGTTACCTGAAACCGGTACGGAAATAGAAGCCAATGGTAAGATATGATAGAGATATGACCTCTTCTACATCTGTGAAGGCACTGTTCTGCAAAAGCTTAAGACTGAAGGCACTGTTCTGCAAAAGCTTAAAATCTCATTACCTAAGCCTATATCATTTAGATTTTACAGTACAGATCTTGTCAAGCTTACCCTTATTGTGTACAATGTATTTAAGCTTCATATGATACGATGTATAATACGAAGAATGTCCAAATTTATCGCTGTTGTTTTTAACCTTCTAAATGATATTTTGTAGGTGAAGCAGGTTGTTTAGAGAGTGTAAAAGCTGCCAGTGAGATTTATAGCCCTGTATCTGGTACAATAACAGATTGTAACCAAATGTTAGCAGATACACCAAATCTCATTAATGATTCACCATATGAAAAAGGTACCAGTACTAACTTCTTATTTCTATTCTGTAACTAAAATTTCAAGGAAACATTATTAACTTAGAGCATCAGAAAAAGGGTTTGATGTTGATCAACCCAACAGATATTGGCATCAGGTGTCCCATTGGTTGAGCATGATCAAAACTTTCCCACTGTAATTGAAGCGATTAGCTTATTATGATTATATTATTATTCTGAAATGCCATTGTTCTACCTTTGTGTATTGTAGGATGGTTATTTAAGGTGAAACTCTCTCAGCCTGATCAGTTACAGGAACTACTAGATGAAGATGGTTATAATAAGTTCTTGGAATCTCATGACTGATCTGATTTACCTACCACCTGGATTTATCAGATAACCAATTTCTGATTTTTAAAATTATAATGATTTCAAAATAACTTTGATTGTTAAAAGTGATGAAAAGTGTATATCGAATTCTAAAAGTGCTCATGATATTCTATTTTAAATATTTAATCATGTTTTATTATGGTACATATAAAGTGCCTATTTTTCTTTTGAATGATTTCAAGAACATCTAACTCATAGGTATTAAATAGCCTCATATTAGTGGATATTTATTTCTGTAACACCCAACACTAAAATTCTAAACTACCCCATGTATTGTTTGAATTGTAAATGAATTTGCAGTGGTTTTTGTTGATGTTTGAAATACTTTTTGAAACTAACTTGATTTAGTTAAATCTTGTATCATAGTCTTTGTGGCAGTTCATTTCAGGGTAAATCCTTTTGGTCCATTTTTAGACCAAGATTTATGGTTTTTTATACTAGCACTAGATTCTTACTTATATATTGGCCTAAATAGTATTCTTTAGCACATCATAAGATTTAATCATCATCTTAAAGATATTATTAAAAAAAAACAGGGATTATCGCATAATGATTTTTAGGTTATTTGTTATTAATGAATGATTTTGCTTGCATAATTTCATTGTTTTAGATGAAATAATGCCGGGATCTTTACAAGTATTGTTCACTATAGTGCTGTATTATTAATGTTCAAAATGTGCCATAATAAATTTTTCCAGTTTTGCTGCTATATTCTTAGTTTCATGCAAAACCTGGGCAGTTCTGTGTTTTTATGACTCTTAGGTCTTGTTTTCAACCCAAAAGACTTGTTGATGTTATTATTGTTGCCTAGAAATGAAGACCCAGCATATCTTATCTTTTCTTATATCATAAAATCTTCTTAACATCTCAACAACTTTTGTTTCCAATCATTTGTTAATTATTAATCAATTAAATTATGCTATGATTACTTTTAATCTTATTAAAATATAACTGAACTTTTCATTATGGTTATATATAATTTTGGAGTGTTTTGTTAAGCATTTATGATATCAGGATAATGTTTCGTTACTTGTTGTGCTCTAATATTAGCCGTAAAGTGTTCCATATTCAAATTTAAATATAGTTTGTTTTATGTTACCATTGGTAACAATAGAGCTCTGTAGTATATCTTTATAGTATAAGAGAATTTAAGCCAAGGAAATGAAATAGTTTAGTGAGATGTATATTCGGCGGGCTCGCTTTGTGAGTTCTGCACATGCAGGATATATGGAATCACCAAACAGGCAGGCAAATCAGAAAGTTTGCAGATGATTTTATCTAATACCTATAAATGATTTGTGGGTGTGGCCATATATAACTGATAATAGTTAATATTATAAATAATGATTATTGTATTTTGATACCTTTATCATGAAATTGTTGAATAAATTAGTTGATGATTTGAATTTTTTTATGATATTTCTTTATCCTAGAGAATCCCTTTGTGGTTTTTGAATCCCATTTTTCATATATTGAAATATCAGTTCCAAAGTAGTAGGTCGACTGAGAGTGTCAGATAAGGCCTACCCTTTAGTTCATGGTAATTTCAATTGTAAGAATTATTATTTGGAGGTTTCATTACAAAGAGTAGTTCACAATATTTATTTGCCATTTCTGGGGGGAAGTGTGCAATTCTATATGCAGGATTATCAAACATTATATTTCTATAGAACTAAAGACATTCTAAAAAGTATTGAACGCTTTCAAAATTTTGCTTTAGATGTCCGAAAAAGCAAACTAAATTGTATATGATTTGCATTCATTTTCAAAGCTGTTTTCATAATTTTGTAGCATTCTTTAATTAGTCGAGTTACGTGTTGTGCTTATCTGAAAAATGTTGCAGCAAAACTAATGTAGTCAGAATTATTATTTAATAACAAGAGTTGTATCCCTTCCACTTCTAAGTAAAATTCTCTGTATTTCATGCAAGCAGGTAAAGATACAAGAATTAAAAAAAAATCATTAATCATTAATCTTAATCATTGATTTCAAGCGCAATCGAAATTTTCAACATTTTCGAATCGAAAGGGTAAATCCAAATCTAGATTTTACGCCCAATAATTCAACTTCCGCCTAAAGTTGCCCGGATATTGGTTAATGTCGAGCAATGTTCTATTATGATTGTTTGAGGAGTTGTTTTTGTTTTAATTAACGTTTACTTTAACCTAGGCAATCAATAGGTTCTTATAAAGATGGCGATGCTTGGCCAGCAAGGGCAGTGTAAATTCGAGGACAAATGGCCATGTATGAGGCCCACAGTTCTAAAATTGCTGAGACAAGAACCTGTTAGCAGAGATGAATGGCATTATCTTTTTGAAGCTGTCCATTCAGTCTGTATGTGGGATGAGAAAGAAGGTCCACCAAAAATATACAAGGCTCTCGAAGAAGATATTTTAGACTTTATTCGCAATGCCCAAACAAGAGTACTGCAACATAAAGAAGATTCAGCCTTGTTGATTCGTGCTTATATTGCTGAATGGGGTAAATTTTTTACACAGTGCAATTATTTACCTATGCCTTTCAATCAACTGGAAGCTAATTTGTCAGGCAAACTACACAACAGTACACAAAAGAAAGATCAAGAAAGTTTGGTTCGGAAGTTAATGTTAGACAGCTGGAACCAAAGTATTTTTTGTAATATAAAGAAGAGACTACAAGACAGTGCCATGAAACTGGTTCATTCAGAAAGAAATGGTGAAGCCTTTGATTCTCAACTGGTTATTGGTGTGAGAGAGTCTTATGTCAATTTGAGTTCAGACACAGAAGATAAGCTGAAAATCTATAGAGAAAATTTTGAGAAGGCGTACCTTGAAGCTACTGAATCTTTCTTCAAAATGAAGGCACCACGATACCTTGAAGAAAATGGTGTACAGAATTACATGAGCTTTGCTGATTCAAAACTGAAGGAAGAAGAATTAAGGGCCAGAAGATACTTAGAAACTGGTTATGGATGTAATTCAGTGGCTGCTTTAACTGAATGTTGTGTAAGAGTGTTGGTTACTGATTTCAAGGAAACCATTTTACAAGAATGTGCTGATATGATAAAAAATAATGAGACTGAAAAATTAAGACTTATGTTTAGTCTGATGGATCGTGTGCCAGATGGTATCACTCCTATGTTATCTGATCTGGAGAAACATATTGTTGAACAAGGGTTAGCTGATATGATGTCTGCAGCTCAAGCCATTACCTCGGATTCTGAAAAATATGTTGAACAATTGTTAGATTTGTTTAATCGTTTTAGTAAATTAGTGAAAGATGCTTTCTTGGATGATCCTCGATTTTTAACCTCCCGAGATAAAGCTTACAGGACTGTTGTTAATGATACCTCTGTCTTTAGGCTGGAAATACCTGTCAAAAATAAGAGTATAGCTGGGATTAAAACACAACCAGAATCCAAATGTCCTGAACTTTTAGCTAATTATTGTGATATGCTTCTAAGGAAAACTCCATTAAGTAAAAAGTTAGCCTCTGAGGAAGTTGAAGCGAAATTACACGACGTTTTATTAGTATTAAAGTATGTTCAGAATAAAGATGTTTTTATGAGATATCATAAAGCCCATTTGACAAGAAGATTAATATTGGATACATCAGCTGATAATGAAAAAGAAGAAAATATGGTGGAATGGTTGAGAGAAGTTGGCATGCCTGCTGATTATGTCAACAAGTTAGCTAGAATGTTTCAAGATATCAAAGTTAGTGAAGATTTGAATGTTGAGTTTAAGGACATTCACCGAAACAATAACGAAGGCATAGCTGATGCTATTAATATTAAGATTTTGAATGCAGGTGCTTGGGCTAGATCTAGTGATCGAGTTTCTGTTACCTTACCACGAGAATTAGAAGATTACATCCCACAAGTGGAAGAATTTTACAAGTTAAAGCACAATGGACGGAAGTTACAGTGGCATCATCTTATGTCCAATGGTATTATAACATTTTGTAACGATAGTGGTGGAAAATTTGATCTAGAAGTAACCACTTTTCAAATGGGCGTTTTATTTGCTTGGAACCAACGACCGTATGAGAAAGTCTCCTACGAAAGTTTACGTTTAGCAACGGAATTACCAGATGCAGAATTAAGAAAGACCTTGTGGTCTTTGGTAGCGTTTCCCAAATTAAAACAGCAGATCCTTTTATGCAGCTCAGATATAAAATCTCCTAAGGACTTTGTAGATGTGACTGTTTTTTGGGTGAACCAAAAGTTTACTATGATAAAGAATGGTAAAGTTCAAAAGCGAGGAAAGATGAATCTTGTGGGACGACTTCAGTTATCCACTGAAAAGAGTAAAGAAGAAGATAATGAAGGAATTATGCAGCTTCGAGTGCTTCGTGTTCAGGAAGCTGTTGTCAAAATCATGAAAATGAGAAAGAGAATTACCAACGCAGCCTTACAAACTGAACTAGTTGAAATCTTAAAAAATATGTTTCTTCCATCCAAGAAACTAATCAAAGAACAAATTGAGTGGCTAATAGAGCATAAATACATGAAACGTGATGGTGACAATATAAATATGTTTATATATATGGCTTGAATGGTGTTCTATTGATAAATTTTTATAAGTAAATTAAGAACTCTAATCTACATTACAGACTTTTTATGAGCCTGTTAAATTTGCTTTACAAAAGGAAAGTTGTGCTACCAATTTTTATGCATATTTATGAAAAAGAATGAAAACTGTTTGACTTTGTTATTTATTGATTTTTTATCTGGTTGAATTATGAATAGTCCCACAAAAATCATATGATTGATAAAAAAGCACTTTATTACTCTGCAAAGAAAAGTCTCCCATGTAAAACTGCTAATAATATCTATATAGTTGCTCTTATACACCCATTTATGACTTAATCGATCACTTCGAGGGCATGTTCAAGAGTTGTTTCCCTTGACTTAATCAAAAGTATCACTTTTTAACCTCGTTTACGTTCAACTTCAGTTGTCAACAGATATTGTAGATCTATATGGACAGCTCAGGAAAGTTGTGCAATAGCTTATTGATCTTGAATACAAATAGTAAGGCAGACTGGACTGCCTTTTGTGGGGCTGTCCAATGTTTCTTAAAATGGTGCAGGGTCGGGTATTTGAAACGCCCTCTCGCAGTGCTGCCGGTGAGGTACTCATGCTGTTCGGTCTCCATCGCCAAGTACAAGACCTTCCGGTATTGGACTTTTGAAAAAGAAAGAATGAGTCTTTTGTGGGATGCCAAACGCATAGAGTTACATAACATAATATATTATGGCCGAACGCTACTAAAGACATTAAAACAGAATTTTTCGGATTATAACACTCCGTTTCAGTCTCAATCACCCAGTCGTCTGATTTACAAAATGAGTATTAAAGGTAAAAGTAGCAATTTGATTCATACTAAGATAATGACCATTCATAGTAGGGTTAGTCATTGCGTATTCTTAGATTTGCCTTTGTTATTATCAGTTACTCACTAAGGGTATATTTAATGCATGTATGGCGAAGAACATTATAACTTCAAGTTGAACAACAATGCCAATGGCTGCATTCGAAACCACGTTCTGCAACTTGCTTATCCACCAAGGAATAATCGAGTGGTCATGTCAGAATGATTCAGAGGATCTCGACGTATTCAAGCCTTTTTCGAAATATAAGTTATGGAAAATTGACCAATAATGTTTCAGACTATTTTCGATTTCTCTGTATGAGCTTGCGCAGGTCACAGACAGACCTTTCGAGTACAACTTAATTAGAAGTCCGAATGTTTCGTAACCGCTAAAAACTATGCATGGCTACAAATAAGCCTTCATCCACCATTTGAAATATTGCATTAAAATGACGGGAATTAAGTACGAAAATCTTTTATTTTTGGTTCTATTATTTATAAGTTTAAAAAGACCTAAAACAGCGATTAATTTACGACTGGATGTTTGAGACTTAAAAAATCATGTGACTAATTTCTTGACAAAATGGCTGACGCCAATAATTAAGAAAATACGTTCATGTAAACATCAAAAGCAGCGTTGAAAATGAGTTCAAATAAGGAATCCGTAGAAAGGGGAGTGAAAAATGAAGCAGTTCCCTCTGCTGGTGTACAAGAAAGGGCCGATTTATCGGATATTGGGCAGCCAACTACAGAAGCTGTTCCACCAAGTGTGATTGAACTATGTCAAGAAACATTTCAAAAGACTGCCGAATACGTTCAAGGGGAATTGGAAGGAACAATAGAAGACTATAGACTTCTTGAAAAAATGAATAAAGTGACTGTTGGGAAGTATTCAGAAATGAAGAATATTGCAACCAGCATAGAATCGGCTTTGAGGGATTTAAATGTGAAATATAGGAGTCTTCAACCTTACTTAGAACAGATTGATCAAATAGAGGACAGTGTTGCGTCTTTGGAGCAAGCAGCGTATAGTTTAGACCATTACTCTAAAAGACTGGAAGCTAAATTCAAAGCATTGGAAAAGAAAGGCCCCTAACAAATGAAAGCATTTTACTTACTTGTTATTATTTTTTATTTGCGTGTTATTAATTAAATGTTATTGTATTTATCTATTGTGTTTTTTTCTCTCTTTGATAAACCACTTTTAGATGACATGTCGATTCTTACACACCCGGTATTGGTATTGATATTATTACATTGTACGTGGAAATATTCTATGCAGTATATTATGAGGGGCTTCTTTTTGTTTTTATGGGGGATAACTCCTACTAGCTATCTACCACGAAAAAAGAGTCCTGTAATGTGGTCTGTAATTTGTAATGCCTGTGGTGGTTTTTCTGTAAATGCTCAATTTCATAATTATTATCAATTAGTTACATGTATATATAACTGTATTTCATGTTGCTATTATACAATTAAAACTGCTATTCGACGTTTACAATGCTTTGTGGCCCAGAAAGCATTAGTGCAATTGTGAATACAATATTACAAAATACGGCGTTAATAGTAACAGTTATTTATTCTATCTTAAAACAAATGCTTTTTGTGTATGATTTTATTAGATCACCGGTTCTTACCCGTAGTACTCAATCGTATGAAATAAATCGAAATTGAAATAAACCAAGGAAATATCTTATTATTTCTCGACGTATTGGAATAACGGTGTTTTCATGGTTACCCATGGAATGTCCTTCATTCGTACAGAATATACCGATTATAAGAGCGTCGGATCCATGGAAGGTAGCAAATTCATTAAATCACCCGACTCTTTGCATGTCCCTGTCGACGAGAATCGTTTCGGTGCCTTCATCTTCCAGGTATTCTTATAAGATAAAAAAAAAAAAGAATGATTTTATCTTGCAGGTTTTGTTTATATGCTCAAGGCACAGCGAGTCTTACATTCTAGTCGCCATTTTGGTTTTTCTTTTGCAAAATTGAAAGAAAATGCAACATTGAGGAAGTTTGACGAAAATATGCTTAAAGATTTGGCCTGTCCTTTGTGCAAAAAGGCATTGAGGTAATTTGAATCGTTGTTTAAATCAATCCTGGATATTATTTCGGAAACCTGTGCACTGCATGAAACGATTTCCATATAGCCCTATGAAGCTTTATATGCCTATCTACAGTTCTATCCATACATCACTCAGTTATTAAATCATTTAAACAAAACTCATTTAAGAGACCCCTCCACCCAACCCCTGTTTGTCCTTATTTTTATTTTTATTTATTTTAGGTATGATAAAGAAGCAAATGAGTTAATCAGTGACGATATTGGAGTAGCCTATCCAATTGTTGACGGTGTTCCAAATCTCGTTCCGAAAGATGCCAGATTACTGAAGGATTCATCAAATAAAACGTAATGCTTAGACAGCGAAAGCTAACCTGTGAATGATGTGAGCTTTTTTGAATGCTATAATCGTGATATTTTTGTAAATGCTGCGCTCCAGTGTAAGGGGTTTGAAAGAGTTTTGCAAGATCCACCGACGTCTGACTGAGTATTGGAATGACGCAAATCATGTTTATTGACGACTTGAAATTTAAAGGACTTGAAATTTAAAGGAATAATAGATGAAATTCTACGTCGAAGAAGCAGCAAATATGTTTGTGGTTCTTGTCTACATGTTTATATACTTTGTATTTGTAAAGTTTAAAATTATATATAAAGCCGAACAGGTTCTTTTTTTTTCAACCAAGCATACGCGTACTAATGAAACTTACAGTGCACTTTTTAGTACCACCTTTCCCAAATCAGCCATATGCAACATTGTCCATGGGCTTTTTGATTATACGCTAAAATTCCGACGTTTATGTGGCATGAAATCGGCAGAAAGTTGCCGACGAGAAACTGAAAACATCTATCAGAGACTGGTAAGTCAGAGACTGGTGATTCAATCTGAATCACTTCTTCAAATAACGACACCGTTATATTTTCCATATATCACCGTGAAAATCTGTGTGAACATAACAATGATTACTTGTTCAGATTGTAATTTTGCTTTTTTTTGCGTTTTATGATTCTTTTCAGCTTTGGGCATCACAGCCTTTTGGAGCCAGTAATATTAAACGGTAAGATAGCCTAATATAAATCTGCTGTGGGAGAGAACAAACCACTATTGACATAAACCTATTCCAAGAACAGAATGGAATAGAATATATACAATTGAATATACACTCGTACCTATAGCCTGTTTTTTTATGATAAATTTTATAAAGAGACTAATGTTAGTAACCTTATTTCTTTAACGAGACCTATTTATCTTTTAATCTTCCCTAATAATATACCAGACATAAACCCATTTTTCACATGTCAAAATAAACCCATTTAACAATACGTTTGAAGTTTTCTTTAGTTAAAATGTAGTTTGTAAACTTTTAACGTTGTAAAACTTGTTGAACAAGTAGTAACATCAATTGATAATTAGAAGAAAGTAAAATTTCTAGTTTTATGTCAACACGACTGTCATGCTACATAAACTTTGTCGGTGAATATAGGCTCACATCCGGGCATTACAGATCCCGGAATTACTATAAATAAGCACAGACCACCAGTTACAGGTGATATCCCAGGACACCGATTAAATATTGAGCAGTTAAAAACCTTTGTGTGCCTCTCAACAAAGAAATGAAGTATTATTACCACACAAAGGATATGAAATATTGTAGCGTCAGAATTAACAAAGAAATATGACTGATAGACCTAAAGAAGTATATATAGATCATTGACTGATCAATAAAGCACGGGTATGTATTATATTTAAATTTTAGCATATATAAATCACTTAATATAATTTAAAATTTAAAGTGAAATCATTTAAGTGAATTTTATGGAAATGTTGATGACACCTTCAGGAACAGAAGCTTGTAGAGAGAGATTAATTAAGAACTATTTGTTTTCTATTGTTCTTGTGTGGTATCATCAAACTCACTACCTTAATACATATTTCATATATAATTAAACTTAAGTACTAACGATCTGAATCACAAAAAGAAACTCAAAATCCAAACAACATTATGGCAAAACAATGGTAGCACCTAATGAACCTTTTACATGAGGAAGTAAATCAATCATAAGTGAGTAAGTGAAAAGTGGTACCAGGTGTCTAGAAGAGTAAGCTGACCATCTACACAGAAATCGCAGCAAGATTTAAGATTCTTCTGTTTTTTTCTATTCTTCTTCATTCAATATATTCATTTATTCAAGCAAAACAAATCAATTGTGATAGACAAATGACTGACAAAACATAACAACCAAATATAATACATATCGCTCTACAATTGATGTATTGAGCACTATTTTAACAGTGGTATTTCTATATCACTCTACAATTGATGTATTGAGCACTATTTTAACAGTGATAATTTTTTGTTCTTGTTAATACATGGATATGTACAAACATATAAACATTTAATTGAATATATACACAAATGTGCTCAATGTCTCTAATATTTTTTTTATTTTGTTTTTTTGCAGAATGACAATGGAGAAGGATAAGTTACAGTTTGAAGCTACAAACCATGGTGATGTTATGTTAGCTGGCATTAGAACACTTCGAGATAGATGTCAGCTTTTTGATATGATTTTAAATGTGGAGGATATAGCTCTACCAGTTCATAGAGTTGTTCTAGCTTCATGTAGTGATTATTTTAGGTGAGAATTAATCCTGGAATTGAATGACATTCAAGGCATTTGACTCATAGTTCATTTCTTAAATTGCAGCAGACACTTAACTTGTAACAGACACTACTTTCCTTGTTACTAACATTTCATTACTTGCAAGTGACAATAAATGGTAACTGACACTACTTTACTAGAAACTGACACTTCTTTCCTTGCAACTCGTAGTTCTTCCTTCTTGCAACTGATACTTCTTTACTTGCAGTAGTTTTGTATAAACACGTCATGTACTTGTACATGTACAGACATATTGTTACCAGTCACTGGCAATTCCCTTCTTACAAATAACACTTCTTTACTTTGCAATTCCATCCTTTAACATGTAATCTGTAACCTGTTATCTTCACCTGCAACTGAAACTTTCAATCTAAAATTTAATGTACAATTCACACTTAAAATTTTATCTCTAACATGCATTTATTTACAGTCAACATGAAACAAAACCTTTTAACTAGTTTTGACTCTCATTCAAGTAGAATCAGCCATATGCAAACATTTCTGATTTCTTTCTTTACACTTCATTCTTCTTTGTAATCTTGTTTTATATTTTCCATTTATTATCACAGAGCAATGTTCACTGATGGACTGAAAGAATCTAAAGAAGAAAATATTAAGTTAAATGGTGTAACTGCAATGGGGATGCGAAATTTAATAGATTTTGCCTACACCTCGAAAATCAATATTGATCATGGTTAGTAGTGGCATAAGCTTAAATATTCTACATTGGTGTTATGATTTTCTACTCTGGAGGTTAAAACATTTTAGTTTGTGGCTGTGTTTAGTTGGTGACTCTCTCATGGACATGTTTTTACATAGTACATATTGTCCATCACTGGTGAATATTGTCCATCACTGGTGAATATTGTCCATCACTGGTGAAAAATTAATAATCAATGTTGCTATAGATTAAGACTCAAATGATGTGGATGTAGATCTCTTTAAGTTCTAACTAATTGTAGTGATTGTAGCATTTGTCACCATTAGTGAAATAGGTAACAGGAGCAGAACCAGCTTGGCCAGCTTGTGATACCCTATCTTAATATTTATACCTATATCTCTATTTTAATTTCAAAATTCTTTCTTTTGTAGAAAATGTTTATGATGTATTGGCAGCAGCAAATCATGTCCAGATATTGCCAGTTATTTCAGCATGTGAAGATTTTCTTAAGTCACATCTTGATCTCGACAATTGTATCGATATTATGAATGTAGCTGAACTTTACTGTCTCAAAAACCTTTACCAAGTTGCTCAACAATTCATGTGTCGGAACTGGTCTATATTTTCATTGTCTAATGACTTTTTACGACTGAATTTTAAAGAATTTCAAACCTTACTGTCTTCAAAATTCCCAGTTGACTGTGATGAAAAATCTATCCTATTATCAGTATTAACCTGGGCAGAATATGACTCGCAGAATAGAAACAGTCTCTTTGTTGAATTATTCAAATTCATCGAGTTCGAAAACATCAGAAGGGAGGATATTGAAGAAATCCAGTCTACCCCAGTATGGAAAACTGTAGAGTCTAATGAAGTGTGCTTATCTAGATATTTAAATCAGCTTGATAAAAGTGTGGTTTCAAAAGATTGGCTCAAGTGTTCAGGTATATCAAACTTAAGAGGCTTTCAGCACACCTTGATAGTAGCAGGAGGCTTCAGTAATGAAGGAGGGTTGACCAATTCTGTATGGTATTTAGATCAGTCTTCTGGAAATTTAAAACATCTGACCAAGATTCCTCATGTAGATCAGTGCAACTTTGGAATGGGTGTTCTCAATAATAAACTGTATGCCATTGGTGGCTGTTTCAATGATCAAATGCAAGAATTAATTCATCCATTTGGATTTTGTTACGATTCTCAAAGAGACACATGGGAAAGTATAGCGCCAATGTCTCAGGAGAGGTGCAATTTTTACCTTGGAGTACTTGAAGGCAGATTCTTTGCTATTGGTGGTGATCCTCATGCTACAGCAGGTGCGGCTGATATGGCTTTATGTGAGGCATATGATGCTGAAACAAACACTTGGGTTGATATTGAGCCAATGCCTGGGAACCGAATGCAGCACACTGGAGCATCCTTGGGTCGAAGATTATACATTTCTGGTGGCTTACAAGAGCAAGATGGTGATGTGTTTGATGATTTACTTTGGTATGATTTAGATACTAATTTGTGGCAGACAGGATCATCCATGAGAACTCCTCGTGCTGATCACTCCATGTTTGTATACAATGATAAACTGTATGTAGTAGGAGGATGGTTTTACGATACTCATACCCAGCAAAGAGTTATTGCTTCTGCCATTGACTCCTATAATCCTGAGTTAGATTGCTGGGAAACTGTGGCTACTCTCAATGAATGTAGACTGTTTGCAACCTATACTGTTTATGACGGTTGTATTTATGTTGTGGGAGGATGGAAGGGAGGTAACTACAGAAAGAAATGTAATACTATTGATGTGTTTGATTTAGAACGCGGTGAATGGACTGATAAAAAATGTCAAAGTTTACAGCTATGGGAACATTCTAGCTGTACTGCCTACCTTCCAAGATTTGTATCTTGATTTTGATTTCATATTGTGTCACATAAATTATTCCTAATTCAAATTTTTTGTTTTAATGACATTTTTAGTGTGGCTAAAAATGTTTCCCAGAGGGCAAATTACACCAAAACAAACATCATTAGCATCAATACATCCTTAAGTTTAAGCTGATCCAAGATCTAGAAGTCCACATAAACAAATCAGACAACTCTTACTTCCTTCCTGCTTATATAAGCTGAATTTGGTGACATCAAGTCCAATAACTGCAAACCATTAATTGTAGACTTGTTTAAGATTTCCAGAACAACGGCATAACACATCCACATGTGAGTGTATAAAAAAATTAACCATGAATGTTATTTGTTTAGTTTATCAAAATCTATTCAACAAAGGGGTTTCTATGAAGTTTTAGGTTAGAGGGGATTGGGTCACAGCACACCATGCATTTAAGAAATCGGTTGTATGAAATTTAACTTGGGTGGGGGTAGATGTAGCAAAGCTGGTCCAGTCTCTGAAATGGACAATGTAGGATAAAAACAAAAATACAAGATGTTTTTAATAATATTTATTGCACATATCACTGACATCTCATTGCACTGAATCAAACAGTTATTTATTATTACAACATTAATTCTAAAGTAGTATTATGCCTAAATAATAAGATAATAATATTTCAAAGGATGTGAATTGATGATTTGGATATTAATTCAAAACAATGAGAATAATATTTATAATGCTTCAGATTTTATGCAAAATTATTATTGGGTAGTTACTGGAACAAAACTCAAGACAAAAGACAAAATTAATCTTCCATTGATGTTCAAAATAAATACATCAGTTAAATCACACTTAAAACAGGATAAAAAAAAATATAAAAATATTTGGACTTCGACTAGGATTTCATTGGAGACAAACTACCAGAAGTTATGTTTCTGTAGGTATGTACTTAACCACAAAAACTTGTTAATAAGATCATTTACTTGATAATATGTTTAAAGAATAGTGTCTTAAATATGTTCAGTCCTATTAAAACAAACAATTAAATTCGAGTCTTAACCCTGCAAGCTTTCATAAGGAAACATTCCCATCCTGCATGCATCTTACTTTTTGAATGCCAAAAATTTAGTACTTATACAAGTTGTTTGGTGGGAGATTTTTAAATACTTACTTAAAAATAATACACTTAAAATTTCTAGAAAACCTCTTTACAATCCTTGTAACAAGAGTCAATTGAAATGTAGCGAGCCTGAAAATTCATCTTTAAATAAAAGTTGGCTTTATAATAAAGAACAGGATCAAAATAACCTATTTTAACCAAAGAGTACAATTCTAGATTTCTTGTCATTTCTTAAAAACGCTTCAATGTAGATTCAAGTGATAATGCACAATGTTAACAATATATTAAAAAGAAAAACAACATGTTTATATAGATATTACAAACAGCAAATAATTTAAACATGCAGCATATAATACAATGACAAAAAATATGAACTGTACAAAATATGGTATATGTGGATCTTCTAGTACATACCTACTTATTTGGATTTTTTTTTTCACATACAATTAAGAATTTTCAGCTTCTATCCAATTGACATTTTACATGATTTGAATGTCTATATTACATAAATTCCAATTCAAGGGAAATAACCACTTTTTAAGACTTAATAAAACATTATTGATTGTACAATCTTTGGAAAACCGCATAAGGACAGATATTCTAGATTAAAAGAAGGACCATTGCACAATATGTAATAATTTTTTTAAAAAGCAAGAAGGTATATTATCTAACATTTCAAAGTTCAATGTAAAAAATCAAAATCCTATTAGGTACATAAACCAAATCAAATCCCTCAACTTTCAAATGAAATGACTAAACAAAATAGATTCTTGTTAATATGTAAAAATCTGACTCCTGCAATTCAACCCAAGAATCTTGTGCAAAAATGTTTTAATTTCCAGAAAAACTTAAAAGTTTCTCAATTGCACATATCATCGCATTCTTATCATCACTAAACTGCCTGTAAAAAAGTATAAATTGGCATGGCAAAAGGACAGAACAAACTGCCATGGTAGCATTGTAAATTTCTGCTAAATTGCACAAGAACCAGATTTTAATTCTATAATATGATATCGGCAGCAACAATTTATTTTAGTTAGCTTTTAGACATTCGGTTTAAATTCACACCAGGAATTGAAAACTTTCAATAAATGCAAATCTGGCAAACTTAGAACAATCCCAACACTAATCTTCCATTTTATACTGTATGATAATCCCCTGTGGTACACTGATTGTACCAAGATAGAGTTTCAGTTTTAGCCATTGAAACAAACTTAATAGGACATTTAACAAAATTCTCAACATTTCATTTACACCAATATAACAATTAAAAAAAATTCTAATAATCATTAATTCACAACAGATTCAAAATTCTAAAAACTGATAAAATCTAATTTTGTCAAGAAGGTTCACTATTTAAAGGTAAAGAAACAAAAGCATTTACAGGCAACAATAACATAGAAAACAGATACATAATTTTAAAAAAAACATTAACAAAACTTAAGCATTATGTTTAAGTCATGGAAACTGTTAAACTTTATTTTAAAAAATATTATGTTAAGAGATTCTACAACTCAGATAGCACATTATGGTGTTTATTACATTTATTAGTTCAAATAGGCAATATGCTGATAATCCTATACTATAAAATACTATACTTATCATAGGGATACTGTCATCTGATTATTTGGTTTACCAGCTGGTATGTCTACTTTAATTATCCATAGCATTTGTCAATCCAATGCCAGTTTCACAGATTCATTGCTTGTGTTGTTTATCAAAGCTGAATCATCTCAAAATCTAAATTTCTGAAAATGCTAGTAAAGCGAATAATAAGACAACTGCATGTCTTTGAAAAAATTGAACTTTGAAATAAAGTTTTTGTATATTTTCCTTAATCTCAATATACAACAATGTCCTTATTAACACTAAATAATTTAAACATTACAATAAGCACTTGGAGAAGAATCATTTTGCAACAATGTCATGAAGAAGCACATAAAGAGTTAACTACAAAACCAGATAATTGTGACCATTTGTAGTCAATATTATACATTTTATACCTTGTTTAATCACTTTCGTTTTAAAAAAAAACATTTTGGTTTTGTCAAAAAATTATGAACATGGTTGTATGAATACAACACAAAATGAAAGCAAAAAAATAAAACATTAGATATTCCAAATTTTTCAACAGTTAACATCCTATTCATAATACTAACTGTTTTAAATCTATAATATCTATGAATCAACAACATATAATGAATATATAATATAATGTGATTAAAAATTATGTTAAATATCATTTCATAATTAATAGGTCAAATGTCAAAAATTACTAAATCTAAAAAGAGTATATAATATATACATGAATTTTACACAGCACAAAGAAGAATTAAGAATATATAGAGGGTATAGTTTTATATTTAACATTCAATATTAACAAATATATAAACATTACTTCTCTAAACATATATAAGACATTCATATTGAGATTCTATTTTCTTCAAAGATGAGAGAAATACACCTTGTATGATCAGAATGAAGAATGTAATGAGGCTCTCCTTATTTGTTCAGGTTTAGGCAGTTTGGGATACAATTTTTTACATGTATCATGCTTCTAACAAGGCACAACTTGCAAACCCACTGCCATTATAGCACAATAAAAATTATTTGATCGCATGAAATTTTTCAACAGCTTAATAGAATCAACATGGATCTGACTATCAATCATGAATGGGTGAAAGATTTTAATAATATTTAAATCATTGCCGTCTGCTTGGTCAATCACTGAAATCAATTTTGAATATTGTCATATTAACAAATCAAATGTATTTTTTATCAAATAGGCCTTTTTAACAGGGATTCTAAGTTCATTTTTCATAAAACCAGCCCTCTTGGCAAAGTAAAGTCTGGCAATAGAAGAAAATACAAAGAATTTCAACTCTATTTAACCGTAGTGTTATGCTTTTACACAAGAAAGCTTTTTTCACTTCACTTCAAATATTTGTCTAAAATCAATCAAATTAATATCTTTTAAGCATAAATGCCAAAATAACACTTGTAATATGAATAGTTAACTTTCCAAAATTCATTTCTTTTAATGCATCAGTTTTAAAACCATCTGATGATCAATTCAAATATTCATACAGCTGTCTGATATTCTGATTTCATATTAGAAATTGCTTGCAAATTTAAACAATATATATTAGTACATTTCTAAATAATGTGGGTTTTCTTTTTACTTTTCTATGGTAATGATGGAAGCCTAGATATTTTGAGCTGTTTGGCATGATTGATTTATAATTACCAAGATTGCAGTCAATCTAATGCACATCTAGGGATGATGGTTCCAAATCCCAACAGGAACATTTAAATAATTTAGAAACTTTAAGTGGAAAGGACAAAATATATTTTACTTGTGTAGGTTTCAATTTTTCTTATTTTACTTCAAAACATAATAATCTGCTATCATTTGTCCATATATTTAATCCACATAAATATAGCATTGAGTGATAGACTGTAGCTAACTATATAAAGGTATGAATATGATTAATCAATTTGGGGACTGACTGAATTTATTTAACACAATTGATCACATATGGTCAAATCTCAGTTGAAAGTTTTCAAAACACAATCTGCTCTCATGAAATAAGTATGAAAAACAAACAGATGACATTCAAAATGCAGAAAGAATAACAGTTTGACATGATACTGTATGGTAACATAAAATCTCAATGATTGATGAAAGAGCTGTGAGCAGGTGTTTTCATACAATCTATTATTTGGTCAATATATATGTACTTAGATTATGTAGTTCATATCAAATCTGTCAAATATCTTAAGTTTTAAGTTTTAATTATAAAAGTATTTTCTTTGATATAGAACATTTAACTAAATTTTCAAACTGAATAAAATCTAGTGCTTTTAAAGTGCAAGCAATTTCAAAACTCATACTCAATAATAAAATTAGCCCTAATAATTGATAGGGAATCTTTAGCTAGATTACTATTTCTAAAGCATAAGAATAGTAATATCAGTCTATATAAGTGTACTGAGAATACTCAGTGAGACAATATAACATAACAGTTTAAAGCTCATTTCAGTAAAAAAAAAACTTAAAAGTACCAGTTTTTCAAAAATCTTTTGGCATCTACTTGTAACTACTAAAGCCACAAACATGTCTATGACAGGAGGTCACTCATAAAATTGTTAAAATCATTAAATTCATTATGTTTCTTTCACCTGTCTAATTAACCATCACTAATTGATCTTAAATCCTTTCAAACTGATCTATTACCTCCATTTAACACTCTGAACATGTGGACATTTTTGAAACAAAGAAAAAAACAGATAATTAACTAACAATAAGTATAGACATATGGAGATGTTACTCATGCGTAATACATGAAAAAATACTTAACAAATGATGATGTTGATAAATAAATAGACCCTGATGACCCAGTTTTAACTTGTTGGCAGTAACTGACCACCAGGTGATGATTCCACACCATCAGCACCATTTTGAAGTTCATTTTGATTGGGTTTTCCATCCGACATCACTCCCAAAACAATAAATTGTGATGTATCTGCATGTGTTTGACTACAGTCCTGACAGATACATGGTTTATCAGTATTTAATAACAATTGTCTATCAACAGGTGATTGAAAAATAAACTCCTTTTTACACTGTTCACAAGCCACTGTTTTCTGCTCATCATCATGTATTTTCATGTGTTCATTTAGCGCTGCCTGTGTATTAAAATGCTTTTTACATTCACTACAATTGAATAACTTCGATTTATGTGCAGAAGATATGTGACTCTGCATTGACTTTTTATTAGAAAAACCACGTTTGCACTCTGGGCAAGAAAACAGATGAGCTTCAGGGTGTTCATTAGAAATATGAAGTGTCATTTTCTTCTTTTCTGAAAACCCTTTGTTACACACTGGGCAAATAAATGGCTCCAATCCGGTATGTGTTGTCATATGAGCTCTCAATCTCTTCTTATCTTTGTATGCCTTATCACAAATGTTACACCCAAATGGTGTTTCTGAGGTATGAGTGAGCATATGTTTCTTTTCTAAGTCATACTTGTTTGAGAAATGTCTACCACATAATTTACACACATACGGGTTGTTATGAATTCCCTTATGTCTAAGTAAACTTCTATGATGAATAAATTTACTACCACATATGTCACAGCAATAAGGTTTTTCTTCATCCAGTTCAGTGGCTTTTATTTTTGATTTTTCATTTGGAGTATTCTTTTCTTTCTTTTCTGGTACTTTTGGTGCTGATTGTTGTGGTGCTGAATTATTGGGTAGTGGCAATGTTACTTCAGCTTCTTCTGCATTCAGTAATTTTTGATCAATTGTTGAGTTTTCAACATGATTTTCAAGAACAGCATTTTGCTCCTCTTTAATTTCCATAGGTACTGGCATTGTTGGCATAATAGGACTAGATTGGGATTGTAATTTGACACTTTCAGAACAAAGTTTATCAACAATAACGTTACTTAATTCAGCATAGGTTTTCATCTCAGTTTCGAGCGTAGATTGAAGATCATAGGTTTTTTCATAACTCTGAGTATCCATAGGTTCAGGGTAGATATCATGAAATTCGTAACCTCCATTCATTAACATACCATCTTTATTGACAAATTGTTGAAATTCAGCAGTTTGGGGCAATTGGGATGTTTTATCATCTTGAACTGCTATATTAAGGTACTGAGTTGTACCATTATGATCAGTTTGAATATGAGTTACTGGTAATGCAACCTTTTCTAAATTGATAATGGTTGCATTGGAGTTGTTATGGACTGCATTTTCAGTATGATATGTTGTTTGGTAGGGGAACTCTCCACCATATTCTGACAAAGTAATCAATTCTTTGTCTTGACCTGCAGCCATTATCACTTTGAGGTCATTTTCTGACAATTGGTTGCTAAACAGTATCTTTGATTGATCAACTCTTTCAAGTCCTTGTGTAGTAGCATTCATATCCAGCACCGGCACTTCACTTATGTGTCCATTTTGATCAATTTGTGAATGAATGCCTTCTTGACTTTCAGAATTGTCAGTTTGTACAGATTGTATGTGATTCAGTCCTTCCGTTTGTAACTGACTGAGATTTTCAGCACTTGCGTAGGCTATAGGAACATCCACAAAATAGTCTTGAATGAGATTCATAACAGGAGTAACACCATCTTTATCTGTCATAGCAGTGAGTAATTCGGTAGCTGACTGAGTTTCTGTAGCACCAGATGTATCCATTGGTATAAGCTGGCCAATTTGTTGAACTTGATCACCAAGTGGTGTATGTATGACCTGCTCTCCTAATGATCCTTGCAATACAACAGTGTTGATTGTATTTCCAAGGATATCAGTCGTAGCTAAAACAGTTCCATTGTTCAGACTATTTAAATCAGCTTGTGTGTAGATGAAACTTGTTGGGGCTACATTTTGAAGTTGGATCAAATTTCCTGCACTACCCTCTATCACCGGAACTGTATTAAGTGTAGGGGCAACTGGTACTGGAACTGTGACTGTTTGAGAATGTTGTGGAGTAGACACAACACTCACTGGTGACAGAATAGTTGGTGGTGCTTGCTGGAGTGGTTTTGATGTAGGGATAGTGTTGATTTTGGTGTGCATTGTAGGGCCTTTACAATTGACTTCATGAGCTTTACATTTGGCACGATCAAGATAACCATGACCACATTTTTCACAAGAAAATGGTCGTTCCTGTGTGTGTGTGTAACTATGACGTTTTAATCTGGATCTTTCTATAAATCCTTTGCCACATATATCACACACAAATGGTTTTGTATCGCTGTGTGTCAACATGTGTTTCTTAACACTGTATTTTTGATGAAAGAGTTTTCCACAGGTTTCACAAGCATACTTTCTCTCAGGAGATTTGGATACACCAATGGAGCAGCGGTGACTTTGAAACTTTTCCTCTGAGCTAAAACTAATTTTACATTTCTGACATGCATACAAATTAGTTTTAGGTATACTGCCAGTATGTGTTAGAGAATGTGCCTCTAAATCAATTTGTTTTTCAAACTGACTCTGACAGATGTCACAAGAGTATTCCATCATGATTTCAGGAGTAACAGGTACTTCAGGGACTAGAGAGTCACTTGGCATGTTTGGAATAGTATTCTCAGTTTGATATTCAGACTCAGCTGGATCAGGAGTAGGCGTAGGAGCAATTTGTAACAAACCACCTGTATGAATATTTGAGTCTGGGATAAATGTTAATATTCCGTTTATATTCTCACCAAAATGTCCTGCAACCAGGGGAGTTGATATGGGGGTTGATCTTTCACTTGAATTAGTTTCAGAATTGACAGTGTCTATGGGTTTATGAGTTTCTTCATGAGCTTTCAGATTTTTCTTCACAGTAAATCCACGTCCACACATTTGACACACAAATGGTTTCTCAGTGGTGTGCATGTAAGAATGACGCTTAAGTCTAGATTTCTCAATAAATCCTTTACCACATACATCACAAACATGAGGTTTTTCACTAGAATGAATCAACATATGTTTCTTCTCTAACTGATATTTGCTAGCAAATGATTTGCCACAAATTTTACACACATGATCTTTCTCTGAACTGTCACCCACTTTCTTAACTAAAGTATCTACAGTGCAAATATGTTTCCCTGATTCTTCTAAACTGCTAAAACTGCAACCACAATGTTCACAGGTAAAGACTTGTGCTGGTTTAGAGATTAATTCTGATTGAGTATGAGTTAAAAGATGAGAGTCCAAGTCCTTTTTCTCAGGAAAAGTGCTTTTACAGGTTGGCACCGAGCAGGTGAAAACTTTGTCTTTAGAATGAGCAGCTATATGTGCTTTTAAATCCACTTCATTCTGAAAACCAATACCACATTCTTTACACGTCAGTTCACGAGCTGCTGCATGGATTATTGTATGAACTTTTAATTCTGTTTCTTTTTTAAATCCTATTCCACATTCAGTACAGACATATGGAGTATCCATACTGTGTTGAAGTTTAATATGAACACTTAAATCTTTGCGTTCTAAAAAACATGAGCCACACTGATTGCACACTAAATTATTGGCCATGGATGATTCAGGTCCAATGGTGTGGCCTTTAAATGGTGTTTTAATGTTCTGGAATTCATAAAGATTCTATAATCTAATAAACCCTTCCAATATTACTTTCAGAAATTAATAAACATGTTCATCTAGACTTATTATGGCACAGTTCTCCTAATTCTTTACATCATGTTTACTATTTTCATAATAACATAATCTTTTTTTGATAAACACAACAGTCAAAGAAATGCAACAACTTTTTTCTCGCAATAGGCACCAACATCAATTGTCTGCAAACCGTAAATATAGTCCTTTACAGTCACAAACACACTCTCTCTAGATGAGAAATTCCAACAAAGCCGTCTAGAATACTGTTTTACTAAACAAAATGTAGGTATTCCGCCATTCTGACACTGACATATTTTATGAGTTTTAATTATGCTGTCATTTTTCATAAAATGGGATAATATATTCATATCATCCTTCGTTATGGTCGCAAATATAACACAATCTACATGTCCGATTACATCCAGGAAGAGTTTTTGCAACAGTTAGCACAATCCAGACACAAAAAAATTAACATTTGACCTCTTTCAGGATAAAATTTTTGATGAAATGAATAAACAAAGAAATCTGGATGAGCGGTTCCGGTTATCTTTTCCTAAAGGGGAGCTAACTCTATAAACACTTTCTTTGTTAAATACTGCACGTCAGCTTTACTTCACGCGAAATAAACTCGTTTGTCGCGTGCTTCATTAGGGGTGCGATCAATGTGATACTCTTGATAAATGAAGTATGAAGTCCACTAGATGATTAAACAATACACTTCACACCTTACAAATGCTCATGGTTGTTTTAATTTGTGATTTAGTTGAATTGCTAAGAATTGGATTAACAAATTGCGCAAAAGTATGGAATAGATTGAGCAAGTGTATGAATTGACCCGGGTAAGGTGTTACAAGATTGTCTTTAGGACACCGAGTAGACAGATACCAATCTTTCTTGTTAAGCTGTACGGTTTACATATTGTTTAGGCGTGCTATTTACGTAGGACTACTAATATTATGACCTTTGTCATAAAACTGTACACACATTGTCATTGCCAGCGACTTTTAAGGACAATCATGTCGCTAAAGAAAATTATTTTCTGCTTAATAAACTATTACCACACTTACACCCGAGGCTAAATATTATTTTACCCCCAACATATTAACACGTCTAAGGCCCTCACTATTGGTATATGGCCTGTAGATGTGAGTAGGCGTCTCCGATAACGTATATGACAAATAGTTAATTTACAATAAAAAAGCTTATTTGGATCTTTCAAAAGTCTTAGAGCCAGTCAATTGATAAATCTTTCAAATATGTGAACTCAAAGAATAAAGCAGGAATTTAAAATAGAAATAATACAGATATTTATATTATTGTATATCTATTCCAAAAGAACCATTTTTCCGAAAACTTACCGATTCAGGGTAACTGCTTTCCGAAAATATATGGATTAGAGAGGCAACTGCACCCAGCCAACCGACTCAGCTACTTCACAAGTGTAAAACTTGAGGTCGTGCAGTACTCACTGATTAGGCCTAATGCAAATTCCAGACACACTATACCAAGATAAACAAAGCCTACAAGTATGTTATAAACGCTGAAGGCTAAAAGAATATCACTTTCACATCCTGGCTACAAGGACTTCACTTCAAAAGTTACAATTCTGTGACAATCTGGCTAGCTTTCAATGATCTAAATCAACCAGCTTTTTCATCAATTAGGCATAGCCTTCTGTTGATAAAATCCGTACAAGCAAGACAATTCCGTTAGCCTATTGATGCTGAGCGAAGTTTACAAATGAAATGATTTCGAATATTCTAATGCAAACCGATCTGCATAAATGAAGAGACCCTACCTTTTTAAAATGTAAAGAGTTCCAAGAGTTTCCGAACCTGACCCACCGTCGTAAGCTTCTTGAAAACAACAAGTTTGCATGGCTGCAAATGCGAGGTAAAAGACACGTGACCCAATCAAACCAATGAGTGGTCTCGTTCGATAAACGTCAACGTCACAAAAACGTCACTTACGCGGGAAAAAGTGAAAGCCAATAGAATCACGTTTAAGAAAATATATTTTCTACTGGCTATTCACCTGAATTTTAGGTTGTCAATCTGGTTTGAGTCAGCCAATATTCCAGTAATAATGTAAAAAGTTGATTTGCCGGAATTTCGAAATGCACCGTGCCAAGACATAGGCAAGACAAACTTTTTACTTCGGGTTGCCGGTCGTAGTTTCATCAGAGAGTATTTGCTTTCATGCGCAAATAGATGAGGGGAAGTAATTCAATTTATCCTGTGTGCTAGTAAATCTATTGATGATGCAGATAGATAAATTGATGTTCATATTGTTCCAAGTGAAAGCAGTTAAATGGTAAAGCGTGATACTTATAGATAGCACATTGTCCTATAGTGCGTGTTCGTACACAGATGCTTCATTACTTTATGCTCCTTCCACACGAGCTTTGGCTTGGCTTTTAGGACATTTATGAAAATAAAATGTGCTATTGTATTTTCCAAAAGTTTTGCACTCTTTTGTAACCCTTTTCCTACTTTTCGATATAGGCAACAAGTCGCGAATCGTACGCATACTAGACAGACTTAGTGTTGTTATAAAACAGTGTTCACCTCTAATAACAGCGTATCCAAGGTTTTGAACCAGGATTAATGTGGTTATACCAATACTATTAAAGAGATTAAATTATATCGTTAATTTATCAGCTGATTATTTTGGAGATTAAAAAAAAGCCAAATAAATGAACAAATAATATAACCAGAGGGGCAATGGAGTGTGGTGTAAGTTGCAGTGAGATAATGCTCAACCAGCAGAATTTTTTCAGGGGCATTGCTTCAGCTTCGTCTATGGGCCCAGGTTATTTGTGTTGGTTTAATTTTCAACACCAAAGTTCCAGTTTGTTAAGAAAGAGAAAGAAGGGGAATGAATAAAATTCTCTGAAGAAATATTTACAGTTTAATAATTAAAAAAATGTAATATAAACTAAAATTATCATCACACCAATCAATAGATTAAATATATCCATTTCATTGAAAAAACAATGTCTCTGCCACTTCAATAGTATAATGCATACTTAATATGACCTGTCAAAAATGATACAAAAAAACAAGAGTTTGAAAAAGCCCTACTTGTAAAATGCAAGTGAATAAAAAAACCAGAAACACACATGTTGCATTCACATATTCAATTCAGTGGTGTATATGGCACTCAGAATATTGGTTTATAATTTGATACAAGGCTTGGCTGGTTGATTTATCTACCCATGAACTAGTTTGAATAGGTTTAATTTTCAACCACTTGTTTCAAATTTCCAGAAAATTAGGGATTCACCAGTTAGATGTAAAGCTAAAGGATCATGGTCCATTTCATACTCTCATTGTGGTGCTAGTGTTTTATTTTTGAGAATGATGAGTTTGTAACCTTGCTAATTATCATAAAATAGAATCCAATATTTCACAAGTTTTTAAAAAAACTGCATCAAGCAGTAGTGCACTAAATCAAGTTTGAATTCCTACAATGATGGTGAATTAAAAAACATACATTAATTGAATATGTATAACCAAGCCTTGGCAACAGATGACTGATGAATTACCTGTTAATTTAAAAATCAGAAAAACCCAATTATAAACCTGAATATTCATGATCAGCCTAATGATTTTTGAAAATAAAATTTATTTACTCTGAAATAATTTATATGTAAAATGTATAATGCTATGAAAATGTACAAAAAAATAGACTTTTTGATAGAACTATGGTAGAAAAAAGACATGAACATGTAAATAAATAACATGGTTTATACATTGTATTGGTTTTAAGTTGACAAGAAATAATTCAACACTATAATCAACCTTCAAACACAAAAAGGGTGACAATCCCAACAAATCCCTTGGTCAAAGATATTTATCGCAGTCAAAGATATATTCCTTTGGTAGAATGAACAATAAAGGAATTCTTTACCTTAAAAGCATTGTAAAGAGGATTTCTACATGTTTTATGCTTATCAGGAACACTGATAGCATCAATTTGCGCCATTCTAATTTGCACCATTTCAATCAGACTTCTGTGGTTCTTGCAATTCCACTACTACTAGGTGTTATATGACGTCAAGCTCTGCAAAATTTGCTTGTAACACATAAGACCTTTGAGGGGGTGACGTCATAAAACACTTATTGCTAGAAGCACAGACCCAAATTGATGCTATCATTGTCCTTGATACACATACAAAATTTAGAAAACCTCTTTACATTCCCTTTGATATAAAGTAAACTGCTATTTTTCCACAAAATAACTATTCTGTGTTCCTCAGATGTGAATAAATATCTTTGACCTATTATACAAAAAAAAATGTTAGACTACAACATATAGATACGAGTTAATTTATAAGATAAATTGCCAATAAATTGCCTCAAAGGGACAGATGCGCCATTTTGGGGGGTTCATTTTAGTCTTTAATAAATGTAAATTCAAGAAGTACTAGAATTATATGAAAATCACACAAATTCTGGATTTACATAGATTTGAAGGCTCAAATTTCGACGATGAGCTGTGAACACTATTTCTGATTGGCTTAGTTGAAACATTCCCGTTTCTGGTACTAAAGTTTGATTGGTCAAAAAAAGCGCTGCAATTGTCCCTTTAAGGGGATACAGTCATCTCAATATTTGCTTTAACAGTTGATATCTCGTGAATGAAAGTATGACAATTCAACAAATGTTACTGCTTAAGACTGTTGTCACTTCTCTAGATCTCCTTGCATGCAGTAATCACCGAAATCATAACATCACATGAGAATTTTAATAATACGCTTGAAGTAACGACAATATAAATTTGAATAGTACATTTATGTTCAATTGTATGAGAATCAAGATTGCATCATTCACTCAATAGGCCCTTTAACTTATACAAAGACAGTTTAAAATGTTTTTGATTAGTAGAATAGATTATAATTCAATTATTTAATATTTTCTGTAAAACATTGTCCTATCTTTATCTTCAATCCATAAAACGCGTTTTAAATCCAAACCATGTTCTCAGAGCACGTTCATCATATGTTCATCCCCTCCAGTTACCGGGGTTAAGCAGTATCATTTATGCAACTTGGCTTCAGTAATCTCTCTTTTCCACATTCTAGCACAAAAATTCAAATATGCGGAAAATATCTAAATAATACTTAAATGACATATGTGACAATTTCAATGATGCATATCTTATATTTTTTATCACTAATTGAAGGTTTTATTGATTGGTTTAAATTTTTGCTTTGCTGACTCTTATAGGCCTAATTCTGTCAAAAATGGTATGCAAAAGATTAATTAAAGATATGAAACAAGGGCTCATGTTTCTTAATTTCTAAATTTTGTTGTTTGTGCCTTGAGTAAATAGCGCCATTAAATTTTTGTCAAAGTCGGCAACATTTATCTGTATATAATGACAACTAAAAAATTTAGAAGAATGTATATTATTCTAATTTATGCTAGCTTAAAAGAGAGATATCCCAGTACAGAATGGAGGTAAGAGATATCAGGGAAACAATAGTTGAAGGGGCCGAGCAGGGGCCACAAAATTTTCCAGGGGGGCACAGGCAATTCTTTCACTATGTAAAAAGATAAAAAGAAAAAAGTAGAAATGCCACTGGATATCAGACGTAAATAGAGCAAAAATCTTACAACAGATGTCAATCAATATCAGTCATTAGTAATTTATTTCATTTGCATATGCCGAATAAGAGCAGAGTCTCATTTCACACAAAAATGACACAGTTAATTTTGTCCTAAGTATAGTATTTCTCAATGTAAATTTCAACACTTACAATTAGTTCATAACTAAGATTTATTGAGAAATGTCTCCATGCTCTTATGCTTCTGATTAATAAACATAAAATCATCATATTCCTTGGTTTTGAAGAGGTTGATTTAAAATGATACAAATTATAACATATAGGATTTGTTTTACAGAAACAGAGTTTTACAAAAATATATTCTATCAAATAAATTGGTGTTAAATGTATCATAAAAATCTTAATTACCTTGTATTCAATAATACATAATTATAATAATTTTTAATATTATAAATTATCTTCATATGTCACTTAATTAGAATAATAGGCTATAACTCATCCGACATACAATATCCCACAGTTTTTTAAGCTAAAAAAATCTTAATTATTCTTATTCATTATACCCTTGTTCAATAACCAAAACAAGAAATGAAATCAGTCCAGTAGCAAAAACTTGCTGTTGAGCTAATAGCATTGAATTGAGATCATTTCTATATTCTAAAGCACTCATTTAGTACAAATTTTAAGTTCATACCAAACATTAAAAAAATTAACAAAAAATTTTCAACATAAGAAAATAACTACTCTGGTTAACAAAAGGCAGCATAAACTTCAATCGGTCATGATATATTTCCATGCAAAGTCTACAATGGAAATTTTTGGTTATAATTTAGTATTATGCATAATTTATGGTTTGGTTAACATTGGTTTTAGACAAATTATAAGCTTGATTACCAACACTAATAAAATCTGATGCAGGGCTGTTAATTGTATATTTAAATATAAATATATATTTAAACAGTCTTTATCTGATCCAAAAACAACATCAAACAATAAAAGAAACACTTAAAAACACACTACATGAAAAATGAAGTTTTACAAAGAACACATACATCTAATCTAAAAATGGATGAAAAACTACAAAATATGGCATACAATTATCAACCATGAGGAGAAAACTGACAAAACTACTAATACATTTACTACACTTTCAGATTCAAGTTTTTGTACGTTAATCAACGACAGTTACACCTACAGTATATCTGATCAGTGGAATCCAATCAATTCCAAATTTCAAAAGCAAAAATGATCTTCAAGCAGACCAATTTTGAAGGCAGTTTTAACGCAGCTAATGTCACAGTGAATATTGTTGGTTAATAGCATTAAGTAAGGAGAAACAATTTCTATAATTTATTCATGAGGCTATTGATTAATAGAACATGTCAGAATCTTGGGATTCATTATAATTCAATAAAAAAAAAACAATTTGACACATCTGAATGGATTCCACTGTCAGGAGCTTAATTAACAGGTACTATTTGAACACATTTATTTCTACAAACTAACTTGTGGATTTTGTGTTATTGGTTGCTGATTCTGATTTAATTAATTGATCAAGTATCGAGGGTTTATTAGCACCACTTGGTTTATCATCTTGACAAACTAGTTTTTCAATCATTATGTCAGTAAAAGTCTTAAAATCTTTCGCCATGTTGGGTTTATCTGAAAATGATGAACTATTAGAATTCACAGGTTTTTCGGACACAGGATTGATAGTTTGTGGTTTTGTCAAGGCACTTTTTAATATGCTAAACTCTGAATTTAGTTTTTCAGGTACTAAAACAGGTACACATGGTGTGATTTCTTTGTCAGGGTTTTTTTCGACATTATTCCCTGAATTAGATACAGAGTCCTTACCACTTATTTCTGAGGCAACATTTTCATATGATTCTGATTGCGATATATTGCCACTAAATTCCATTTGAACATCATTACTAGGAACACTATCATTGTGAACACTTTGATCATAGATATTTTGCACAGATTGGATATCAGAAATATTTCCATTTATAGATTCACAATTCACATTTTCAGAATTATTTAATTCTGCAATATTTTCTGGTTGAGGTACCCCAGATTCATTGAACACCACAGTTTCACTCTCTATTTTAACAGCTGAAGCTTCTGCATCACTTTCAATCACTAGTGATGAAGAAGCCTCAGTTTCCATGATTTCAGAGCTATTGATAGAGGCCATTTGAATATTATTCGTTGAATCAGTCACTATTGGTAAATCACCAGAATTTTGTGAATCATATAAATTTGATTCCGAAATTGTTACGTCATCGACCTGATTATCAGGATTTTGAATATCTGAATATTTTGCGGATGCAATGGCAGGGTTACTTTCAGAGACATCAGTTTTTACGCGTTTGTTTCCCTTGGAATTCTTCCCTTCGAACATTAGTCCAATAACGTAGAACTGAGCTCTGTCTGAAAAGCTTTGACTACATGGAGGGCACACATATTGGATGTTTTCTTTATCAGTGTAAAGAAGATGTTTATCAAACATAGATTGATACACAAACATATTTCCACACTGTTCACAATGGACATTTTTTTGACCGGTATGACGTTTCATGTGTTCATTTAAAGTAAATTGAGAATGGCATAGTTTTAAACAGTCCCCACACCGGAAGTTTTGTTTCACATGAGTTTTCATATGTTCCTCAAGTTCCCGCTCTTGTTCAAACCGAAAACCACATTTACCACACACATGAGGAGTTTGTTCATAATGCTTTTTCTTTACATGGTCACGAAGTCGTCTTAGTTCTTTAAAACCCATACCACATACAGTGCACTTAAATGGTCTTTCTTCAGAATGGATAAGCATGTGCTTAACATCCAACGCATAACTGGATGAAAAAGCCTTGCCGCAAATCTTACACACATAGGGATTGGTATGAACAGTTATGTGACGTTCCAAATATTGCTTTTGAGAATATTTCTTATCACAATGTGGACAATCTAGCCATGAAGACTTGTTGTCCTTTTCTTCTGTTAAACTCGTGTCAGCTTCATCCAGACCTGTGTTCGATTTCAATTCATCTTGTTCCAATTTTTGAAGCGTCAATTCTGCCAACTTTTCTCCGAGAGCTAGTTGAACTTCATCACCACGTGGATACATCATAACAGCTAAAGCAGCAAAATACTGGAGCGTTGGGGGACCTTTAGTAGCATTTACTGGTGGTGGTTGACCTACATTTTCTATTGGCATCATTTCATTTTCTAAATGATCGGTCTGATGCTTCAGTAGATCTTCTTTTGTTACACAAACTTGTGGACAAACTTTACAGTAACTTGGAACCTTGTGGCCATCCAAATGTTTATCAAGGTTCTTTTTAAAAGTGTATGTTTTCTTGCAAAAAGAGCATTTGAAGAGGCCTATTCCTAACTCTGGATTAAAGGCAGAGGTTTTATCAAGATGTGTTAACATGTGTTTTTTATCTAAAAGATATTGATTGGAGAAAAGTTTGCCACATATTTTACAAGCAAATGCACCAGTGTGCAATTTCAAATGTCTTTTCAAAAACTTTGGACTGTTATATTTCTTGCCACATGTTGAACAGTCATAGGTTATCATCATTAAGGCTTCAGCTCCATTTACAGGTTGTGGTTCCTTATCTTGTCCTTGACTGCTGTTTTCTGTTACTGTTACAGCACCATCAGATCCCGTTACTTGTTGCTGGTTTTCATGTTTCTTCAAATGTACTTCTTCTAGTTCTTTTCTATTTGAGAATGATTCACCACAAATAACACAAGAATATTTCTTACTGTGATTAAAATAGTGTACATCTAATTTTTCTTTTTTGAAGAAGCGTTTATGACAAATTGGACATGAAAAAATGCTGTTGGTGTTCGATTGTGGTTTAATGTCGTAGGTTGTCATTGGGATTTCATGAGTTTGTTGAATTGGATTCATGGTAAAGGTTTGAGCTAAAGGAGGAGGTATTGCTGTCAATGGCTGAAAAGCAAATTGCTGAACTTGTGCAGGTCGATGAACAGGTGGTTGAGGTGCCAGAGCAGGTAATATATTGGGCTTTTCTAAATTTCTTGTTTCAGCAGCATGTACAGGCATATGTTTTTCTTCTAAAGCTTTCTTGTTCAAAAACTTTTTCCCACAAATTTTGCAAACAAAAGGATTCATGTGAATCACCATGTGTTTGGTTAAATTAATTTTCACTGAATATCTCTTGTTACAAATGTGACATACAAACGGTTTATTTTGGAGAGCTGTGTTTGCAAGCATTTCATTAGAAAACTGAGCTTGTGGTTCTGATGACAAGTTAGTGGTCATTGTATTGGTCGAGGTCAATCTTTGAACATCATCATTAGAAGTTGGTTGAGGCAAGGATTGGTCATTAGAGACTAGTGTGGGTATGGTAGGTGTTCCAGATGTCTGTGATGTGGTTCCTTCATGACTGTCCGATGTGGAAGAAGTTGGTTCAATTTTGATAACTGATTTAGCTTCACCATCAACATTATGAACTGGCATGTGCAGTTTATTTAAAAGATATGGAGAAGCAAATTTCTTACCACAGATTTTACAGATTACAGGATCCGTGTGGACTTTCATATGAGCTGCTAAGTTGGCCTGCATTTGGTACCGCTTATTGCAGTGGGTGCAGGCAAAAGGCTTTAATTTTGGTTCATTCTCAGACTTCATTATCATCGCTGTATCTCTTTCCATAGCTGGCTGGCTTTGTGCAGATGTAGAAATAATGGTGGTTGCAGGTATCAGGTTGGGCTGATTAGCTTCAACTGTTGTCTGGTAAGCTGGAACTTGTGCATCTTTTTTAGGATTATTTACCATAGGCATCTGTATCTGTAAGGATGAAACATCATGTACAGGAATTGTAGATGGCAATGAACTGGTATTTTGAGTAGATGTTGGTGAAAGAAAGGGAGTCTGATTTTGCGATAAATGTTCCATAATAGTTGGATTAATTTCATTCAGATTTATTTCTGATAACAATGCATTGTCAGTATCATAATCACCAAGATTGATGTCCAGATTTTCTGATTCTAGATTTACATCATGGAATTTGCGTAAATGAATACGTAAAAAAGTTTTGGTAGTAAAAGTCCTTGAACAAATGTGGCATTTAAAAGGATTATTATGAAGAACCATATGCTTAGCATAATGACTTTCAAGTACATAAGATTTCTTACAGATGTTGCAGGAGAATGGTTTTGATGCTCTGATCTTCTCTGGATGGTATTCTTCTGTGGTGTTGGGAGTTGGTAGCTGCACAAGCCCTGCTGAAGTAAACTGTGGTGTAGAAACAACTGTAGTATTCTGTGGTGTTGAAATTGGATTATAAGATGATGCTTGAGGACTGACTCCATTTTTTTGCATATTTTCAGTTTCTTTTCTGTAGTCCTCTTCTGCTCGATGCATAGCAATATGTTTCTCCAGAAATTCCAATCGTAAGAATTTTTTTCGGCATATAGTACATACGTAAGGATTGGTGTGAATAATCATGTGTTTATCAAGATGAAGTTTAGTCTGATATGATTTTTTGCATACTGAACAGGACAAAGGTTTATTCTCCTCGGTGACTGTAGATGAGGGACTTAAAATTGATGAAGAGTCGTCCTCTATAGAATCTGAAATACTGTCTTCGTTCCCAGTATCAAACCTATCATTTTCCACCACAAAATCTGCACTTGAAACAGTTTCTAGAATGTCATCTAAGCCACTTGAAACATTGTTTTTAATATTATCTTCAGCATTATGTGCCAACAAATGTTTTTCCAGATGAATTTCCTTGAGAAAGCGTTTGTCACAAATCTTACAAACAAATGGATCCAAGTGAATTCTCATGTGTTTGTCAACTGATGCCTGTTTATGATAGCGTTTTTTACATATGTGGCACTTAAAGTTTTTGTTTCTCCTTTTAACAAGACCACCTGCTTGTTCTTCATTAATGTCATCTGTAGTCATTACAGAATCTGGTGTTGAGGGACTGGTATAGGTTTCTGGTTTCAAATCTGGGGACGAAGCTGTTAACTGAGACTGAATTTGAATTGGCATGCCAGAATTTGGATTAACAAAAGTATTCATGACAGGGGCTGGTTGAGGTGATAGAACATACTGAGAATTTTGAGCAAAAGTGTCCCGAAAAGTTGGCAACCCTTTGTTAGCTCCTTGGTTTGAAACCCCTGGCATTGAATATAAGTGTGAATTAATATTAGTATTAAAATTGTCAAGACTTGTACCTGACATCAACATTGTCAATAATTCGTTTTTAACAACACTTGAACCATCAGCTGTAGGAACATTGAGAGAGTTTATGAGATCTTGATTTGATGTGGAGCTAGTTTGTTGTTCTACTGGTATTACACCTGATTGTTCCTGATGAACTGGGATATAATTGTTCATTTCGGCACTGTCTAAATCAATATGACTGTAACTATTAGGATCAGGGGCAGCATATTGAGCACCAGTATACATATGGTTAGTTACAGGAACAGTATGATCATACATATTATTAGTTATCGGCACAGCTGTAAGATTATAAATGTCACTTGATGCTGGCATAGTTGACTGATCATAAACAGTTGTTGGCAACATTTGTTCATAACTAGCTACATTTTGTTCATACAATAAGTTAGATGAAGGCATTTGGTTATCATAGTAATTATTAGCTGCACTGAGAGAATTTAAATCAGTTTCTGACACTTGTTTCACACTGGCACCATTTGTAGTGTCATAATTGGCAGTATCCACTGGTATTAGAGAATTAATAGGGTCCACATGATGATCAATAGACATATTGTTTTCAGGATTCTGCAAGGGAGCTGACAAAACCTCTGAACCAATATCTGATTTTGATTTCTTGATGTCTATGGCTTGGTTGTTACTTTCAATTGATTTACGCTTTATATTCACACTCTCTGCCATTGCCCCAGAATTACTTGATGACTCGTCAGATGGCACACCACTGCAAATATGTTGCGTTAGCAGCATTCTCCGTTTAAATCCCTTTCCACAAACATCACATTTGAAGGGAAATTCGTGCGTATGAATGTACATGTGTCTGATTTCCAAATCGTACTTGCTTGAAAAATGTTTACCACAAAATTTACAAATATGTAAATCTGTGTGAATTATTTTATGTCTGACTAAACTGATTTTCACAGAAAATCTAGAGTTACAGATATCACAAACATAAGGTTTTTGAGCTATCGAATCACCATTAGCATTTTCGTTTGAGTTATTGTCAGGTTCTGATTCTATGTCGGCCATTTTGATATTCCACGGCACATAAAAGTATATCAATTGCTCACAAAACAATACCGAGTCCTATGCACACTGCACCACAAATAGAATTGCTGTATTTTAAAAACATTACTGTCAAATAAAAGTTTCAAATTTTCCTTAATTCTGATCACATTCAAGCCACAACTTGATAGCTGCAACCCGGAAATCGAAAAATCACAATGTAATTAACGTCCATGGATAAGTTTATAGTTTTTTTTCAAATTACTATGATTGAAATGAAGTTTATATAGTTCAGAATCCATTTTATGAATAAGCATACTAAAATTCAATCAAAGCACGTGAAAACTACATTTTCCTCTGTACAATTTCTGCAAATATCTCGAATTCTTGCAAGTAAATAAACATAACGCTTGGCCTCCATTTCTTGTCGGCCATTACTAAGGGAGATAACTACGAGTATGGTTTTATCAGGAAATAATGCACGTCACTTTTAAAACTTCGTCTTCAGTATATACTCCCGATCATAAGGAAAAGTAGTAGCCTATAACTATATATAAATTGTATGACATGTCTCTCAGCTTCAAAATAACCTTTCGTCACTTAACTGTTACAACAGCCATTACTGATTAGTAATTGCATAAATGAAAGGTATATTACAATCCATCCCTTAGTGATATACTATAATGAAAACCTCACTAAGTGATCAAAGAATCACTATTCCTCAAATGGCATGTTTTAGTAGGTTATCCCTATGACTAGATGACCAATCATTGATAAAACTGTGATAAAAATAGTGTTACCTCAACTCAGTCCAGCACTTTCAACTAGTAGCTTCAAATTACCCCCCAAATGCATTTTCTCAAGATAAATCTATTCTCTAAAAAATCTTGATCCTCTCAAAAGGCCCCTCCCCTCCTTCCATATAACGGTAGCAGTATTTTCTAATGCAAATATAAAAGGTTGCAGATAATCCTTCATTGAATTGCAAAATATTCCTTTCAATTTCAGATCCTAAGTATAATACTACAAGTGCATATGCAATCATGGGTAAGGCTAAGGTATAAAATATTAATCCTTTAGCAACATTTAGGAGTAGAGATCACATCAAATAACGGACAATTTTATGGTATACTACTCCTTAAAATGGTGTCCGTTACTTAATGGTATAACATATTGGGCTTCATAAAGAAATCTCTTCCACATTTTTAAAAGAGGAAATCAGCATATTTCAGGTGAATATAAACACAATAAAAGTTGAAAATGTGATATCTTTTTTAATGAAGTATAATTTGTTGAGAACTCAACCACTTTTTGAAATGATAAATCTTGATTTGGTATACAAAACAATATGAAAATAGATTATAGATTCAAGGTTTGACATGAAAAACATATTCATTTGAAAATATTCATTTAAATATTGCTTGCGAGCTGATAAGAGCTCAATTTCAGCACATTTCAGAAATTAAAGCATACACCTAGTTCTTATACAATAAGTATCTATGTCATATCTCAAGATCAATATTCATGTGCAGAATCATCTTATTAATACTGTCCAGTGAGGACAACAGTTTAAACTCACACATTCCATTTTTGTGAGACAACAGATTTCAATACTAGAAAGTAGCACAAATAACAGATATTGAGTTTTGTTGACTGATAAAACAGACATTTTGAAGACTATCCCTTTAGTACTGAAGTGAACTTTTTTTCAGAATTAGATTTTCCTGAAATCTTGCAATAAAAATTTGTCAGAAGTGTGAAAATTGCATGTTAAAAATGAGGCTTCCGACAAAAATTTGTTGTAAGATTTAAAGACTAGACCTATGGCATAAAAAATATTTGAGTTTGCTATCCTAATAATGTATTTTCTAAATATAATACATCAAAGTAAACCAAAGACTGCAGAATTATTTGATCTACATTTAATTGCCCATTACAATAATCTATTGTAGATAAAGAAAAAGAGCACAAACAAAATTTACAAATAATATATAAAGTAAAGAAGCTGAGAGGTGAGACAAATGTTTGCATGAATAGTTATTATAGCAGACAAAACTTATCATATATTTCCAACATTTACATCAGGCAAGCCTGCATTCAGATAGCAAAATCTTCTAAACTGTGCTGAACAGGTTTCAATACAGGCCAACAGGTTTCATATAACTGAATGCAAAACCATCATGCCTTTAAGATTTTACACACCAAGAACCCAAGTTGGTTCCGGCATGAAAGTTCTTACCAAGTTTTGGCAATTCTGTTTACAATACAACTAAAATCACAATATTTACTCGTGTCAATTGAACGTTTTGTATGTCATTTTGACATGATAAAAAATATTTACACATGATAATGTTAATATATACAGAATGAAACAATAACAGGGGGGATTATCTCCTGCCACGCCCTCGACCACCCCTGCCTCCTCTTCCACCTCTACCCCCTCGTCCTCCTCTCATACCACCACGACCTCTGCCCATGGCACCTGAAATACAGAGAAGAAATTTTAAATAAATGTTTCTTTTCCAAAAGTTTCTCATAAATCCTAAAAAATATTGCAAGAGTAAGGACATTAGAAGATATAAATGAAAGGAAATTGAAAGGGAAGTCAGAATGTGCCAATGAAAGATATAAATGGTCCCAATACAGGCAATGAGGCTCAAAACCAAATTTTGAATCCTCCGAAGTCCATCAAATGAATGCTGAATATTTTAGGGTGTAGTGAACATATAATGCTGAATCACAAAAGTAAAAATATGAAGGGGATGTAGAATTTAAAATAACAGAGGCATAGAACCAGTTCTTTGGGTCTAATATTTCATTTTATTTAAGTTGATCCACCATGCCATGTAAAAAATGACTGACATGAAACAAGTGACATACACAGTCGTTGAAGCTGTTTAAGTCAAAATTATCAATTAAATACAAACCTCCTTCTCGTTTTCTCTGTCTTGCTTTTGGTGTATCATCTATTAATAAAGTGTCTAACGGTAAACTATCAGGTAATATAAAATAACGAATATTGTTTCCACGAATACTTAAAGTGTCTATTTGAACTGGATCTTTATTTTTAATTGTCATTTTCACTGCTTTTAAATGTGTATTCATACAAACATCAACACCTGAAATAAGAGAAAATCTTGTTATTTTTTTTATAACAAGATCCAATTAAGTTTAATCAGCCATGTTTTCTGAGAAAACAATATGCAATAAGTAAGTATGGCAGCAGTTTAATTACTTTTTCCAGTGGCCATTATGACAAAGTTGTGGGACCATTTTGGTTGAGGGCCAAGCTGAGGTAACCATGGTAAATAGCGACATATGAATCTCCAATGAACATTGTCAGCATCTCTGTTCAATCTATTGGTTGTAACGAAATGTTTCACACTTATCCAATGTCAGTCCTGTCTCATTTGCATGATTAAGACCTACCAGTAACTGTTCCATGAACTTGTGTACCATTTTTTAATTCTATAGTGACAGTCTCATGACTCAACTTCATTAAAAATCTGTAATCAAAACAAGAAGTATTAATATACAATATCATCACTTACGTCCCAATTCATTTGTATTGCAAAGTTCAGTTCCATTATACAAAGTTTTTGTTCTATTAGGCATGTCATTGCCACTTGAAATGGCAACAAATTCATCAGGGTAAAATGTTAAATTGAAATTTCAAAACAAATCCGATCGAGATCAACTCACTGGCTAGATCTCATCCATTTTAGGATCAAAATGATCCACAATTCCTTCGAGTTACTGGTAGCAACTATGTAATTCTGCAGGATAATCATAACATGACATTATGCAGCCCTATGGAAGATAGATTTGGCACAGCATTTCAGCAGCCAATCGTACGTTTTTGAAGGAAACAGTGGTCTAAGTGGACAAATCCCGAAAGCATCTCATTGTTGATATGAGAAGAGACCCTATCTAGATTTCATGTTAAAATGGTATATAAGAACGATCATAACAAACTCGGATCAAATTGAAAAAGCCTCAAAAATAATTTATCTTTCATATGTATTCTTGTTACACGGAATCATACCTCACTAATTTCATGATGGCTTGGATTACAAATTATTTTATCAACCGGTATAAACAATGGCGCCAGTCGTGAGAAAGACGCAGTATACCGATTTAACCTCAACATTAGAGAGTGACTAAAGGAAGGGACACAACTCTACTTTATTCAGAACATATTTAATTTTTCAATCGGAATGTGTTCGTTACACCCATTATGTTACGAATTTGCTTGGCCATAATTAATCGATAAATGACTTTTTATAGTAAAAGTAACTTTAGATCCCTCTGGAACAGAAAAGCAGATGTCAATTCAATTCTTATATGGACAACTTTTCTTTGAACAAAACATCAACTTGTATACTATATTTGCAGCTATGCCAGGCAATGTATGCTTACTCTTCTAAACATCTGATACCACTTTTCATTATGAAATACTTACTTAAAATTGATAAAGGCCTACTTTCTCATGTGAAAAGTTCAATAGCTGCTACCAATGTTTCCTCAAAACGGAGGATTTCGGGTTTTGATTTGCGGTTCAGATCATTGGTGCTTTTTTTTTTATTTATATACTCTCTCTCTAACAATTAACCCTGTGCCAGTGCCTTATATTGAATAGTAACTTGTTACTCTTCAATCACCCTAATCTCTAACAATATATAAGCGTATGAGCTCCCAAACCACTGGTGTATATCCACTAGAAAAAAAGAAAGTTTGCCCGAAAGGTAGGCCCACCAGTGCTTGGTCCAAACCCACTGATTGGGCGTCTCAGTCGCTTCTCTCGAGCATACACTCATACCTACAAAATAAAGTGTCTGGGTTGTTATTCCTTTTCTAAATATGTTATAACCAAATCAAAACATTGACAAATAAATTGTCAAAAAAGGTGCACCGAAGTCGCTGGGTGTTTGGGTACAACAATAATTCAATAAAGGGTTGGGCAGTCACGAAATACATTCATATTTACTTCATTTTGATAAATTTCCCAGAAGATTACTAAAGGATGTCATATCCATTGATATAAAATTAAACGCCTACTACCAACGTACAGTGATGATGAAATACTCGAAATTTAAAAGATCAATTTCTACTTTACAATGTTATATTGCCTTACCCACTGATCAGGATCTTCTCTTCAGTTACGGAGACTTTTACGGAATCAACTTTTTGGGTTGAATTATTGGAAATGATGACCCGTTGATATGTAAATTTTGGCTTTGGAATGCTATTGTCCACGCAAAAAAAAAGGTTTTAACTGGTAACTTACTTATTCCTCGCTTCTTTAATGCGAGCACACTCATATTCTGATAAAAGTAGGCCTAAAAGTTGCTACCATTTCTATATATTAGATGACTATATCCTTTTCATATTTAGTAAACTATTGAAGGGTGTTCTAATCAACGGAAAGAAATCGCCCAGTATTTTGTAGGAATGATGATGAATCTGGACCATAATAGCAATGATGGACATCAGTTTTCCTTTATTACAAGCTTTATTGACAACTCATTTCTGAAAAGTATAATAGTAGCTACATATATATAATTAAATGATTCAAGCCTTTTAATTTCCTAGTAAACTGCAGAAGGATGTCCCATTCAAACCAGAGAAATTGCCCAGTATATAATAAAATGATGATGAAATACATGTACTTGATATTAAAATCAATATCTACCCGAATTATGTTTAAAACTAAAATATTATTATGGATTCGGTCCACTTTTGTAACAGGTGCAGGCCTACGTAGATACAAAATATACCGGTACATAAACGACGGTCTCCTTAATGAACAGGTGAAATACTATTGAAGTCTGTTGAAGTCACAGACTGGGTAGATGGCATCGAAGGTAATAAAAAAAATGCTGTTGTGTCAAGAAAAGTGCAGAATGGGGAAATATTTTCAGTGGCAACAACTCTTCCATTTCACCTCAATTGATTTGATCAACATAAAGACATTATGCAAAGTGTAGGCCTCGACCTAAGAAAGGGCAAAAAGACAGCTCTCCACCCACACCCGTCTTTACCCATCTGGGGGTTGTGGGCTTAGAATAGGCATGATGGAGCTCCTTAGGTTTGCTACGATGCGCTCTTTTTCGTTTTTAAACTGGAACATCTAACTTGATAATCTCGACCAGAAGTTGCCTCGGCTCTGTGCAGGGAAAAGTCTAGCATACAGTTAGTTTAAAATTGAGAAAAAAAAGTAAATAGATCACTATAAAAACTCGTACTTTATAACCTTTTCGTTGATTGATTGCGAATAATCAAGTTTTTACAGTTACTTGACTCACGAAAGTGATGATGAAATCTTGTTTAAACTGATGTAAGGTCTTCTTAGTTACCGTGTTACCGCAATGTCGATCAGCTGACGAGATTGACCTATTTTTTTCAGGCAGTGTTTAATTTGAGAACAGTGTTTGTTGGAGAAAAATACTTATCGTACGAATTTAGGCAAACCAGCAAATTATCCGATCTTTGAACTGTTTACGTTTACGTGGCTTCGACTGTCATAAACAGCTGATCATTCCAAGGGCGTTCCTTCTTTTTGTCCAATCAAATTCTCTCATTTCTTAGCCACGCCTAATTGACCGAGATAAGGTGAAGGTCACATTCACCTGAAAGCAAAAGTAGTCTACACGTTGAATGTGATGATGCAATGACCGAGTTTTGATTCACGTTTTCAGTATCTATGAAATGATACTATAAAAAATTGTGTTTGAAGCGCAATATGCATTAAGTTTTTTGTAAAAAAGGGGGCAAAAATATTTTTTGGTTTCTCTGAACTGAAAGCAGCCACAGATTATCCCAGCTTGGTCAGACCCGTTTATATAATAGGCTCAATTTGATCAGATTTGGCTCACTTAAACTTACTAGGCCTAGGGCTGTCGCATAACTTTCATGGTCAACAAACCTCCTAAGCGTTGATGTGCCGATTTGACAAACTAAATGTAGAGTGGCAGAATTAAGCTGTCATGCATTGCATTTGTACGTAGTTTAAAATATTGAAATGGACTCCTAATTAAGCCAGCTTTGTCGTTTTTTACGTATGCCCTATATGTCATTATCTCAGAAAGGAAAGCTATCGGTGATTGGATTAATCAAGTCAATCTAAGTACATAAAAGCATCAGGTATTGCAGAATGCATTGCCGTGGTGACTAAGCATGGCAGCGAAGTTCAAAAGATTGAAATGTAGGCTACTCCTAATTAGGCTAGCTTGTCATGTTCAACTTGTCATTATCCCAAAATGAACGTAATCTGTGATTTACAACCTAAGTGCAAAAAGCATCAGATATTAAGTAGGCCATGTCATGCTTTGCCTTGGTAGACCTACTAAAGCAGAGAAGTTAAATAAAATATATTAAAATAGACTCCTAAAGAGGCTATAACTTGTAATTTTTAACTTATGTCATCATCCATGAAAGAAAGGTCTTAATATAACTGGATTAGTCAATCACGGTTCATAGAGTCCAATAGGATTAGAGCTGATTCTTACATAGATTACATTATTATGTTAATTGACTTGCGATTCTATTTTTGGAAACAGAACAACAATAACACATCGTTGTATCTAACCGTGTTAAAAGGAAACCACGAGAAGTGTGGTTGCCCGTCAAAGACTTGTGACGTAGTGAATAGTAAACACTATAAATAGAAGCTCATCAGCTGAGAAAGCAAGAGGAAAGTTAGACAGCTATAGTGAATGATCGGAGGGTTCAATCGATACCTAAATAAAATCTGCGCTCTTTCTTCATTTGGAATCTCAAAACCTTCATCATGCCAGAATTAGAAAACAATATGGAAATGAAAAAAGAACAAACGTAAGTTATTTTTTTCTTATTATGAAGTTGATCTATCGATTGATTAATTTGGCTATTTATTGTCCGTCAGTCGATAAAATCGAAGCTAAATTAGCACATAACATTATGTTTATTATTAACTCGTCTTGATCATCATCAGATGGTGGTTTTTCAAAATATTTTGTGTTGCGGAATTCCTATTAGACTATGTGAAAATTTTGAAGATAAATATTTAAGATCACAACGTTATTCTGTGTGCGTAATTTCGGGTATCGACGACGATCATTCAATAGCCTTGATCTACTCTTTTAAAAATTTTGGAACAGAAATAAGCTTTCAAATGTTATTTGTAAAGAACTGTTCAATTCTGTATATCTGCAGCAGGCTATTCTTGAATAATCTGTATTCCGATATTTCGCGGATGTAATTTGCGTCAAAATGGATAGAGATGCATCCTTAAAGAAGGAATCCGATTTTTTAGTCTAAATGTCGAAATGTTTTTGGTCAAATTTATGAAAACTATACCCCAAAATCTGGGGTCATAATATATTCCCTAACGTGTCAGAAAGTTTTAATGTAAAGTATCTTGCCGTTAATGTTAGAACGCCGAAACTAGTTAAAAGGTTTACGTAAACATTTAAACGTCGATGTGTTTCTTGGTTGATATTGGAAAACTAATGTATGAATGTAACAAAGCAAATTGTAGAGAAATATGTCACTTCTTATTCTGAAGGGTTCGACTAAAATATTGAATTGATCTGTATTGTAATTTTCTCGGATTCCCGGTATTTGCAGAAATTTTCGCAAAATCAGTATTCAGATCTTCTTCTTCTTCAATTCATTGACTGAACAATATAAGACTAAAGAAAAATCGATCGCGACGTCCATTATTTCAACAGAGTTGATCAAGGTTCAATATCCAATAATAACAGCGGTCAGTCATATTTATAAATAATATTACATTGTCAATAGACAATCAGTCACAATAGTCCATATCCCAAGGTTAATAAACATGACAATAACTGGCCTTTGATTAGATTTGTCGATAGTTCAACAAGGTGTGAAATATACCTGCGGTCGGGATGTGTTGGCTATAGAATACGTATGAGTGTACGGGTGTGCCCAAATTTATTGTTGCGCACGCAATTTCGAAATACCAGATATGCAAATTTCCGAATTGATGAGAACTTTCATTCTATTTATAAACTTTTCTTTTGATCATGGCCATTTGTACATTGCGTCAGTTCAGTACATTACACGGATATGACTTGCATTTCATTATTGGCCTACACGTGTATGTAGCATACAGGATTGGCTATATAATATGTAATAAATTTCCTTCTTTCATGTAAAATTCTTTATAGGGCAATATATATATATATATATATATAAGGAAATTAGTTTTATCTTATCTATGACCTTTTCGAATTAAACATGCTGTGATCATTAAGCTGTCCGTTTTTCGTAATTTACATCCATGAGCTGCCTTTATAAATCTATTAAACTTAATATGTATTTACTGCATTTATTATAGACCTATGACGGAATTCATCTTGAATATGTCGTGATTTTAATATATAAGCTTATTCCCAGTTTCTAGCTAATGAAATCCAGATTTGACCGATTTGGAAAACAAATATAATGTTTAGGTCCAAAGTTCTCTTTTAGCTCTGCAATAATCAGGTCATTGACCGCATTTTTGTTTGCACGTGCATCGGATTATCAATGACTTGTGCAAATATTGCAGGTTAACATGAACCATGACATGATCGTGCAAATGCAAAATCATTTATTGCATGATACCGATCTTCCAATGTTGAAAGAGGCAATGTTTACATACCCGAATTCCTATTGGCGAAAAATATAAAAAATCGCTGGACTTTGACTCTCTTATCTGTCATTCGTCTAGACCCTGGACATACGACTAATTTAGTTTTTAGTAAATCAGAATATTTTCTCGTTATCTCATTTAAATTCGGTCAGCATGTTTCTAAAATTCTATTCGGTTTTATGGCATATCAGCACGTTTAGTATCTATCGTTTACCCTGAAAATTTACCAGTTGATGGTTGTTAAAATGTCCCCAAAATGTACCCCCGTCACACATTTCAAGGAAACGTGAGTTCTATGTGAATAGCCCTTTAAAAAGTCGGGCAAAGCTCATCTGCATGTCGCGATAACTGTAGTAAATAATAGTTGTGGCAATGTAACAGCTGATTACATAATGTCACTCACAATAATGTCCTGGTCTAAACCACGCCCATTATGCATATCCATGGTGTGAAGCGGTGCGGAACAACATGTAGATCCTGTTAGATAGGAATTTTCTCAAAAGGAAAAAATGATTTTCATGAGGACCCAATATTGTCAAATTGCCTGTCGACATCTGTTATAAATTCGACGAAATGGTGCTTTCTCCGATATGATTTTAAAATTGTATTGTTGTCACCATTGAAATTACTACGAGCAGGCGTTGAACAAGCACGTCATCCATTTGGTCATTGACAAGGAAAGGTGGTGGCTGTCCTCATTAATTTTATTGGATGAAGTTAATTTAAAGTTCTATCAGTTTTGAAATTGAAGAAGCATAGTTTTGAAAATGGGTTTGCTAACACAGTTTATAAGGTATGCTTTGTCAAATTTCCGTTGTCCTTCCTGTAAGTTTTTCTGACATATTCGTGGTTATTATTGATTTACCTTTTGCATACTCACACGTTGACTGCTTTTTTAAAGTCTAAAAATAGACCAGTAGATTCAACCAGATTGCGGCCGGTAGCCACAGCATCCAAATTTGTGTCCGGACAATATTCGGCTATTTTATTATTTCAAATTGATTGCTTTTGTCAAAAAAATATAATTAATACGTCAAAAAAATATAGAAAAGTTTTATGTTTTTTGGGTGGATAGGCATATGACTAAAACTTCATTGAAACTGAAAGAGTGCAGTCACTGGCCTGGGGGGTTAGTTCTTGTTAAAGGGATATTGTTATTACCAGCCCTTTATGGCGATGTGACATAATTTTGTGACCCACTGTATAGTATATATTCATTCTGACGCTTCTGAATATATGATTACTTGTAGGCCTACTAAAAATGTCAAATTTTAATAAATGATCACTTTAATATGACAATCTATTCGAAAATGAAATATGAATGTTTGGTTTTGTATAAGGGCTTCCTCTTTCCATCATTGATCTGAACATTTTTTTTTTATGAAGCACAAGTTCATTGGTCATTACCAGGTTGAACCAATCAAATACACTGTTCAGTAAATACTGATCCAACTACATAGGGAAAATTTAGGGGTTGATCTTGGTTGAATATTTTATAATTTGAATAGAGTGAATTACTACTATCTTTTTTGTTATCTTTTCATAAATGCTCTTAATAAGCAAGTGATGTTTTGTGTAATCTTTTCCCATATAACCTCAAACCCTCAAACTTTAGGCTGACATGAATGGTTTTTATCTTGAATTTAACAAATTTTTATCTTCACATTGTCTTATCTTTTCAGAAATGTTCCTAGTGTTTTAAAACATTCACCAGTATTCAAGAGACAATGTATACAGAACAGAAATTACAGAGTCATCTATGGAGAGATGAGTCAACTGCCAGAAAAGGTCTTCAATTATGTAGAAGAAAATATAAACCTATGTAAACCAGATTCTGTCCATATTTGTGATGGCTCACAGATGGAAAATGACATCTTATTATATCAGTTACAAAAGGATGGCATCCTGAAAAAATTACCAAAATATAAAAACTGGTAGGTCAGAAGTCTTTGAAACATAGCATAATTAAATCCACTTGATGCTTTCCTTATTATGCATCTAAGACCGATCAACAGCTTCGGTTAAATTAGGGAGGACACAGTCTTTAAATGTGTGACCATCTGGAAATACTTTGAAAAGTAAACAAGGACAGTTTCATAGGTCATAGTTTAGGTGGAAGTAAAGATAAATAGAAGATTAGTTTGTATATTACGACTTACTCTTTAGTTCGGAGCAATATTTATTATAGTCCCCTCTTAATTGTCCCCTGATATTTTCTTGGATGGGTGTTAGATCTTCAATTTCGAAGATTTGATTAAGTAACCTAATTGATAATATTTTCTTATTTTCAGTTGGTTGGCTAAAACAGATCCTGCTGATGTTGCCAGAGTAGAAAGATTAACATACATTTCTACAGAGTTAAAACGTGATACCATACCAACTCCTAAGACTGGTGTAGCAAGTCAGCTGGGTAACTGGATGTCTCCAGCTGATATGGAGGAACAGCTTTTTATGAGATTTCCTGAATGTATGAAAGGTTTGTACACAGATTGAAATTACTTTGACTGGCAACAAAAACACCATTGTAGATATTGATAGGACAAGCACATGCCCAGCATTTATTACCTTGGGGAAAAGACCAAATCAATAGATGTGATATATGGCTATGCATTATTGATAGACTTGTCTATAGAAGATCTCGATATATTTGCAGTCTGTTGTCCTTAAACAAAATAAATTCACTGAGATAAACACAGAAAAGTAAATTTAAAAAAAATGAATTGATTTTAATTTTTCAGGAAGAACCATGTATGTGATACCATTTAGTATGGGACCTATTGGGTCACCACTGAGTAAGATTGGTATTCAGTGTACAGACTCGCCATATGTTGTGGCCAGTATGAACATCATGACCAGAATGGGAGTCAAAGTTTTAGATTCTCTTAAAGATGGTGACTTTGTGAAATGTTTACATTCTGTTGGCCGTCCTTTACCCCTTACTGGTAAGTATATTAAAACTGTTTGATGGTTACGGATGGTTAAGGCCCTGAATCCATAAAAACCCAGCGCATCTACTGGTAGCTCACATCCTATCAGCCATATCAACAGCCTGCGATCTTATCTAGGTATATTTGTAATTATTACTGATGAATATATAATTACTTATTAATTGCTAGAAATTTGAAACATTTATCTAGTTTTATTGATCAATGTTTATCACTTTATTATCCTGACCTGAAGTTTCAATAGAAACATAATCAGTCTGTTCAGTCTTTTGAGGTACAAGCAGTAAGGTCTTAAAACTTCAAAAGATAAGGGTATATATAAATCAAAAAGTTATTCAATTTCAATATTTTTCTCTTTTCTTTTTAGCCCCACTTCACAATAACTGGCCTTGTGATCCTAAAAATACACTGGTAGCTCACTTCCAAGAGAGAAATGAAATCTGTTCATTTGGTAGTGGTTATGGTGGAAATTCCTTATTAGGAAAGAAATGTTTTGCTTTGAGAATTGGATCTAAGTTAGCTCAGAGAGAAGGCTGGTTTGCTGAACACATGTTGGTAAGATAGGATCTTTATTTCTATCTAGTGATCAATTATGCTACATTTTATTTGACACATTTATTATTGAAATTTCAAATAGAAAAAAAATTTGGATAAAATTTCCGCTAGAATCATAATTTGGATATGTTTATCAAATAGCAAGTTTTAATGTGATAAAAAATAATTGTTTATTTTGAAATTGCTTTAAAATTTTCTTTGTGAAGCAGAACATATTTTGGATAAAATAAATCTAATTTTAACCTTCTTTCAGATTCTGGGATTGGAGAACAGTAAAGGAGAAAAGAAATATATTGCTGCAGCCTTCCCTAGTGCTTGTGGTAAAACTAATCTAGCTATGATGACCCCACTTTTACCTGGTTATAAAGTCACATGTGTTGGAGACGATATTGCCTGGATGAGATTCGATGAGAATGGTCAACTTCGTGCCATCAATCCTGAAAATGGGTTCTTTGGTGTAGCCCCAGGTAAGGATTTCACCTAACTCTGAATAGCAAAGAAAGATTGATATATTATCATAAAATTTTCTTGTTGATGTTAATAATGTGTATTGAAAATGAATAACATTTCGGGTATTCACGAGCTTAGCCAGTGCTGTTATGGAAATAAAACTTCATTTCCAAGCACCAATATCCCGAGTGAATGTTGATGCTTTTAGTTTTGTTTCTTGTTGCCTCCTAATTTAAAAGTTTTTTGTTTTAGGAACATCAAACAAAACCAACCCTTGTGCTATGGACACCATACAAACCAATACCATATTTACTAATGTTGCTGAGACTAGTGATGGTGGTGTGTTCTGGGAAGGGTTAGAGAAAGAGATCGATGATGATGTAGAAATAACATCATGGTTAGGCGAAGAACATTGGACGAAAGAAAAAAGTTCAAAGACTGCAGCTCATCCCAATTCAAGGTAAAATATCATAATCTTCAAGTTATATTGTCAAAAGTATATTTGAAAAACTTATTACAAATTAACATGCATTACATGTACGATACCATTTGCCCATATGATGGATTTGATATTGGAAATTTGTGTAAACTTTGTGAACCCCTTTTCACATGAAAGTTTCGTGTTTAACCAAATCATAAGATTTTTGTTCTTATTTTTAGCTTATTATTTTTTCTGTAGATTCTGTACACCAGCTAGTCAATGTCCAATACTTGATAAAGAGTGGGAATGTCCTAAAGGTGTTCCAATAGATGCTATCATATTTGGTGGTAGAAGACCAGATGGTGTTCCTCTGGTTTATGAAGCTTTCAACTGGCAACATGGTGTATTTCTGGGTGCCTCAATGAGATCTGAAGCCACTGCGGCAGCTGAACATAAAGGTTGGTAAATTTGATTTTCAACTAAAGAATTAAACTAGTATGCTGTAAAACTAAAAGAATTTAGAATTATTATCTTAACAATGCTGAGTTATAAGTTCAGTTTGAATAAGGTATTTCTTGGGCTACAAACTAAAGGGCAGTTGCAACAAAACTTCAAGGTTATCTCATTACATTATGTTGAAGAAACATTTATGAATGATTTAAAGTAGACTGCATTAAAGACATTTGTCCTGTGAATATATTAGTAAAATATTTCAATTATACAATAACAGTGGTTCAATGAAGTCAAATCTCTGTTTAACTGATGAGATTTTAAGTGTAATAGAAAGTTGGTTCTTTTCACTGAATACATTTTTAAACGTGACCTGTAAGACATAAATGTTGATAAATATATTTAATGAATCAAATGTCTAAGATTTTTGATATTCCATATGTCCATAGATAAATTTTATTTGAACATTTGTTGGGGTTGGCTTGATATAACTTCATTTATCATGATGATAGCCCTTCTAAATAATGGATGAAAAACTCTTTATTATTAGCTTTTTAGTTAGGCTGACCTTGCTTGGCTAACTGTAAACAATGTCATTAACCAATGTTGTTTAGCTCCTATTGTTGTTTTTGTATGGAAAGTAAGATAATTGCTAATAGTAACTGTAGAATTTTATTTACCAGTGGTAAAGGTCAGGTCAAGTGGGGTTTAGTGTCTAGTATTACATTATATAGGGCATTCATCAAATAAACTGACTTAAGTATATAGTTTTAGTCTAACACTGTTAGATGGTGATGAGAACATGGTCTCATGAAAGCACTGGCCTAGGTCACAAAGTAAAGATTTATGATAAAACAAGGTGCAAGTTAAAGATTAAGATAATTAGATATGTTAACTAAGAATAGTATTACAATATCAAGCTTCTTTTATATATAGTATAGGCTTATAGGATTCCAAGAGTATGTGTATTGTGGTCACTGGCAGCATCTCATATTAGAAAATATTTTTTTTTCTCTTTTCAGCAAAAAGTTTAATGCATGATCCATTTGCTATGAGACCCTTCTTTGGATATAATTTTGGAGATTATTTGAAGCATTGGATGAGCTTCCAAGACAAGAAGAATTTGAATTTACCCAAAATCTTTCATGTTAATTGGTTCCGTAAAAACAGTGAAGGGCAGTTTCTGTGGCCAGGATTTGGCGAAAACGCTCGTGTTTTAGATTGGATCTTTCGAAGAATAAATAATGAAGACATTACTCAGAAATCACCCATTGGTCTCTTACCCAAATTTGACTCTTTAAATTTAGATGGGTTAGATAACCCTGTTGATTTAGAGGCATTATTTAACATCCCCAAAGAATTCTGGCTGGATGAAGTGAAAGCTTTAGAGAAATATTTTGAAGAACAAGTGAATGTAGATTTACCTCCTCAGATTAGAGAGGAATTGAAAAAGTTGGAAGAAAGAGTGAAAAATAGTGCATAAATTCACATTTCATTGTAAACCATTCATATTCATTCCATAAACTTTCAGAATTGCTTACTATGTAAGTTGTACATATTATTATAGTAGATTTCATTTTATCTATTTCATTTAGAAAATCACTTATTAATAATCCATACCGTATTGTGTATAATTTATTAATTTTTAAATGGAAAATGAAGTTTATTTACATGATTTTAACAATAGTGTCTAATTATTTTAATAATTATGCCAATTAATTTATTCATTATTTAATTATGATTTCTATTTCACCCTCATTTTGATGTTTATCCATTGATTTATTCATGTAATGTTATACAATGAATAATTTAGAGTGAAGAAGAATATTTATGATACAATTCATCTCAAAAACTTTTATTGCATTTCATTTTTTAGTGAAAACAAATATAATTTGTTAGAAATTAACAGAACAATGAATTATATAAAAGCATATTTCATTTAATGAAGTCTATTTCAATTGATTAAGAGCATTTATTAAATTTCATTTGCATTTGATAACCTTATTCATTTTTATGTTTCAATTATAATTTCTTTCCGATTCCAATCTATTCCCGTCTTTAATATTCAGGGATAAAAATCATGGCCCATGTGAAGCCATTTTACCTTTTATCTGTGATAAAGTGATATGTAATTTATAAATTTGTTAATACAGGGAATTGTAAATTGAATATGTTGTGGGTCTCATGGGTTTGTTTAAAAACCCCTTTGCACATTTATTATATAAATTAACATAGTCGGTTGAGTATGTCTTGGACATCCTTGGACAATCCAAAGGTAAACAAGAGTAGTTTACTTTAAATTTGAGGCAGAGCAAGTCGAAGCCAAAGAGCTATTATATAGAGGCATTTTCAGATCCGTCAACTAGAAAATAGTAGACTCTTCTCAACACTGTCCCTGGATGTGCAATGACTGTATTGTATATCATAAATATATATTATGCAATATAATGTTTGTATGAATGAATGGATAAAGAGTGTAAAAGTCATATTTTTATGAAATATTATAGTAACCTTGTGGAAACTGTTAATTCTTACTGGTGTCTATAATAAAACTGATTTAAACCTATGTATTATTGAATTCATTGAATTTTAGATCAACATTGAACCCTCTCCCCTAAGATTTAAATGCAAAACTGACCAGTCTTCACTTAAAAATAGGAGAGAGAGGCTGGAATAGAGGTGGAAAAACCACTGTGGCATTGACATTGAGCAAAGTTACAGAAACATCACTGGCAATGCTGAACTCGCCCGGTTTCGTTTTTAGACTACAATCGACCTCAGTGGCCAGTGGCTTCTTTGAGTTTCGTCTCGACGATAGGCTACACCTTAATATCAACCCCTGCATGGCTCGAAAACTGTGTTGGATTGTAGTTGGCCGCAATACACCCACCTTTTCCTTAGGAAGTACAGATTGTTGTCAGAAACTCAGGCCCTAATAGTAATAGTCTACTGACGTCTATTAAATTACCTACCTAATTTAGGCCTACCTATACAGACAGGTCTACTTGCGACACTGGAATGACAATTTTGTATCACTGAACAACATTTTACAGTTTAAGGCAACAAAGCTAAGTAGTCTCTCGTGCCCGAAGGAAAGCTCCCGCCAAAATTTTCACATGCTCGTCTGCTGGTACGACGTACGTCATAATTTGCAACGTAAGGCGAATTAAATGGGTCAAGTTTACGTCATACTTCATGACAGCCAATCAAAATTAACTTGAGTCTTCACATATGACCTAATTTTCTAAAGATATATATTCACATGTAATTGGAGGTTCTCCTTTCCATATCATTTCATACAGCACAATAATTCTTGTTCAGATGAACATACTGAAAACAACAGCAACTAAATATAATGAAATGTAAGCCCATAGCTTTATAAAATAGACAACGTGTAGCCTACAGACATCCTTTCGATGCAGTAGTTATGATCGACTTTATGATCAATGACCAATCGCAAATTATGAACTCAAATTTCTAGAGTAGGATCATTAAACCCCACGCGCACTTGTAGCAAAATTCATCGAGTGACCACATATCAACCTTTATCGTTCACAAACAGAATTGATTGTTCAAGAAAGAGCTGGAACGTGAGCGGTGAATCTAGAAAATATGACCTTTCATAAACTCTGTTTAGGTTCAAGGTCACATTCAAGGCCATAATCAAGGTAGAGGTCTTGTAAATCTATTATTGACTGGCTATTCGTGCAGGCTGGACACTTTGCAGACGCATCTTGAACATGTATGTATTGCAAGATTTCTGTTTTTTATTGCGCAGGAAAGCAAGTGTTTGGTTACACGATTATAATTACTGAATGATTATTTACTAGATTAGTGCAGTCAGCATAAAATATACCAATTGCTATACATTATGTACTTTTATCGGGCATTTACATTGGCATACTACACTAGCATTATTAGGTTAGAATCAATAGAAAACATGTTATGATTCTGATGTCCTACATTGTGATGTGGGTGGTGCTTTTCAGACAAGTGATCTTGTTATCAGGAATATGATGTCATAGTTCCCATTGCAATGGCATTATATAATAATAGTTTTGTTTTGAAATCTTAACAGATATTATACTTAGTTATTAGTTCATGTATTTGATATATATAGGCCTCATCTTATGCATACTAAAAACACAGGGTTGGTATAGCCCTTTACTTGACTAATCTGTAACTATTCAAATGCTGTATGTTTCTTTATACAAATCATGGATCCAGGTAGACTACAAGACATCTTCACAATGTCAAGATATTATGAACTGCCTCTAATACCTTGACTGCAAAGCCACTTTTCTCATATAACAGAAGTTTGTAAATGCAACAATTGGATTGTATGCTATCGAAGACAGCCAATCAGGGGCCTTAACAGAAAGTATGCAAACACTAAGCCATAATGCTTACCTTTTTTCTGTTCAGGGCTCTTACTTGATGCATTTCCTGGTGTACAATGCAATCAAATTGTGCATTCTGTGAAACGAGGAAGATGGCTATTTGAGTCAATGTATAAGACAAAGTTCGTAGTAGCTTGACATGGATACAAGACAAACAGAAGTTTTTACATTAGTGCAAGAAAATTCACGACCCTGTAACCTTTGACTTTTCACCTCCAGGTCAATTGCTTTTTTTTGATATATGATTCAGAATCAGTTAACACCATAAATCCCAAATTGAGCAAAAAAATAAAATAGACTTTTTCCTTTTCCTTCCAGGTCAATTTTTGAGAGGTTTGGCTACTGTTATTTCCACGAAGAGTGGACACTTTCTAAATGATTCTGATGACCTACTAAATACATTTATGAATTTTTTCAGCTCAATTTGAAATCCTTGAAGCTAAATCAAGATGTCTGACAATGAAGAAGAACCCTTTATGGAAGTGCATGAAATTGTCACCCAGAAACTTGGTCACATTCCAGTTGCTAAGGGAGATTTTAAGAAGCTACCATCAAAAGTTCAGAAATGGGTTATTCACTCTGTAAGTATCCTTAGATTTCAAATGCGATTTGTCTGATAGGCATTGCTAACAGTGGAGGTTTGTCTTTAACGATGCTTGATGCCAGTGGCGGCATCAGCCTCCCAAGACAGGGGGTAGAAATGGATGTGGCTTGAATCCACCAATTTGATTGAAGGATGCTACTAACAATATCATCGTTCTGTTTTTAAAGCACGTATAACATGATTATTAAGTGAATAGTTATGCATGTGAATGTATATGTTTTAGGTGAATATTTGCCAACCAAGAGCTATCTATATTTGTGATGGGTCTAAACCAGAAGCTGATGAAGTTACTCATAAATTACTGGAACGAGGAACTTTAACTAAACTTACTAAATATGAAGAATGGTAAAACTTTTATGATATAACCTTCACAATTGCTGCTAATTATTTATCAGAATGTTTTGCAAAGTGATGTCAAATATAGTTAAGCATTTCTATAATAGCAGGAACCACATACATCTGACAGAATATTTGAATGATACATACGGAAGCCATGAATGACCCCAATACACATAAAAAATAATCTCTACCTTATTTTAATGTCCTTTATATTTATATTTTAGCTACCTCTGTCGAACTGATCCTAGTGATGTGGCACGTGTAGAATCTAAGACCTGGATTACCACCCCTGAGAAATATGATACAGTGCCACATGTAAGAGAAGGGGTCAAGGGCATTTTAGGACAGTGGATGAGTCCTCATGACATGAAGAAAGAAATAGACGAAAGATTTCCTGGATGTATGAAAGGTAATTTTGTAATAATTCTTTTAAAGAACATTGTGGTCATAAGGGCAGAAGCAACGCAAGTAGAGATACAGGGGAGAGAGAAAGACATTTACCTCTGCTTCATGTTAAAAAATTTCAAAATAAGATGTTTGTAATCTTGAGCTATGTAATTTCATGTCATTTGCCCTATTATGTATTGGGAAGCACAATTTAAATTAATTTTTCAAATTTTTTTCTGAGGAAGGGGGATAAGACCTCTTAGAACAGACCGTGAGTGTTGCCAAATTGTATTATTTTGTATTTTCAGGAAGAACAATGTATGTAATACCATTTAGTATGGGACCTATTGGGTCACCACTGAGTAAGATTGGAGTACAGTTAACTGATTCTAACTATGTATTATTATGTATGAGAATAATGACCAGAGTTTCACCTCGTGTATTTGAATTTATGGGAGATCATGATTTTGTTAAATGTCTTCATTCTGTTGGATGCCCTAGACCTGTTGAGAGTAAGTGAAAATATAAACATTTTGAGAAATTTTCTTCAATAATCTTACTTTAGCCTACTATTTATACAAGTATATGTCCTTAAATACCAAATGAAAGCTCTATTAACAATTGTTTGGATTCTGCTAGGTGAAACTTTGAGATTCTTGATTAATATTTAGGTGATATTGTCTATAATAGGGTACGATGAACATTTGTCCAGTGAGCTATGATGAGCTCCTGTGAGCAACTATCCTGTGAGCAACTATCCTACATCCGTTAATAATACTGGTCAAAATATTATAAGAAGTTAATAAAAACTCCTTTTTTTCAAACATATATATATGAAATAACTACATTATTTCTTTTTTCTCCAACAGGAAAGGTTATCAATCATTGGCCCTGTAATCCAGACAACGTTATCATTGCTCATTTCCCTGAAGAAAGAAAAGTTAAGTCATATGGTAGTGGCTATGGTGGTAACTCGCTATTGGGTAAAAAATGTTTTGCTCTCCGTATTGCCAGTGTTATAGCTCGAGATGAAGGTTGGATGGCTGAACATATGTTGGTAGGTAGTGCTATTTAGATTTAACCCTTTGAGGACAATTTATATACTCTAAACCCTGAATAATAAATATATAAACCGTATGACGTTAATTTTATGTGACGTCACTATTGATGCTGCTATATAACATACTTTTATGGCAGCTAGTATTGAAGGAGTTTAAAAAAAAATCTGCACCAGTTTAAATGTACTCCAGTGTGATGCTCAATATATTGACTGGCAAATACATTTAAATTCTTCAGTCACAGGATCAGGTTATGGATGGAAAAATTGACTAACTCTGGCATATTGGTTTTTATTTCAGATTATGAGTGTTACAGATCCAAATGGTAAAGAAACATTTATAGCTGCAGCCTTTCCAAGTGCTTGTGGTAAAACTAATTTAGCTATGATACAACCAACTTTACCTGGATACAAAGTACAGTGTGTTGGTATGTTTATTTATTTTGAATTTTACAATTAAAATTTAGCCAAAAAATATATTAAAATCTATTAAAAAACTATCTATCTATCTCAAAAACTTAAATAAGATAAAATCCAGATTTTAAGAAATTCAGAATTCTGGTTGGATAATAAAACAAAATCAACTTTGACCAATCAGATGATTGAGACACTACAATCATTTTAACTAAGGTTTTTAACTTGGTTTAGATTGTTATGTTAGTTAACTAACTCTATGAGTACTTTTTTACAAAATTCAGAAGGAATCTTTGCCAAATGTTTTGTGCATGAATACCAGAATATAAGCCAGGACCATGGGGGCTGGGGCTAAGTAAAAGGTCAATTGAAACTGTTGTGATATAATCTCTGTAAGGTATTATCAATATGACATAAGCAAGTTAGGTAATATGGCCCAGTTGATAACAATATGTGATGATGTCTATTGCATAATTATATCCTAGTTATACATTCTTACAATAACCAAAGTTCAATGAACACAAAACCATAGTAATGTCTAGCTTTGTATAAATAAGCTGTTATCTCAGCTATCTTCGACAGATTTTATTTAAGTATATGACTATCTAGGGTGTTGAAACAGTTATTGCATCACAAGTTAAGCGTGTATCAGCATATTTATTCTAATTTCTCTTATACATTTATATGTGTTCATTAACTCAAACAGATGTAGAAAAGTAGGACTTTAAGCATCATTTCAATATTTGTTCGTTACAGGAGATGATATTGCCTGGATGAGATTTAACTCAAAAGGTCAACTACGTGGCATTAATCCTGAAAATGGTTTCTTTGGTGTGGCTCCTGGTACCAACTTTAAGACCAATCCTAATGCCATGAGATCCTTCCAGAAAAACAGTATATTTACTAATGTAGCTGAAACAGCTGATGGCGGTTACTTTTGGGAAGGTCTAGAAGATGAAATAGATAAGGTTTGTCCCTATATAGATAACACTTTGAGCCCAGTAGTCGAGAGTTAAGCTTTGGGTGTTGTATTGTTGCAATTTAACAACAATTTTTTGGTAACCATAGAATTATTATTGTGCAGTTTTTTTAAGTGCATTATACTGACTGAATCACAGGTGGTTGGAGAGGTGGAATGGTGTCATTTGCATTGTGGTCGTGGGTTATTATCTGACAGTCAGCTAAGACCGGCTACATTAAATAAGTCATCTTTCCTCATTAACCCAGCTTGAAATGGGTATGTATAATCTTGGAAAGATGAATGACAAGAGGTTTGGTCAGGACCAGCTCCAGCAGGAAGAAAGGATCCTTGAGCACTAATGGTTCTTTCTTGCTAACCATTAAAAACATAGTATTAGAATAACAAAAGTCAATTGCTTTTTTTAGAATATGAGTATTACAACGTGGTTAAATCAAGAATGGAGAATTGGTAAAGCAGGAACTGCTGCTCATCCTAATGCTAGGTTCACCTGTCCTGCTAGCCAATGTCCTATTATGCATCCTAAATGGGAAGATCCTGAAGGTGTTCCAATTAGTGCTCTTATATTTGGTGGCAGAAGACCTACCGGTATGATTTGAAATTTAAAGGTTTTCAGTTTAAGAGTCTTAGGAAATTATAGGTGGATTTACTTATAATGCAAAGATTTAATATAGTATATGTAATGAACAGAAAATCAAATAATCTTTCAAATCAAATGGTTTAAATTCATCTACTTCAAAGGGAATATTTGGACATTTTAAATTTCTTGTTTTTAATAGGTGTACCATTAGTATTAGAATCATTTAGTTGGGAACATGGGGTTATGATTGGAGCTTGTGTTAAATCTGAATCTACAGCTGCTGCTGAACACAAAGGTAATGGTTCATATTATTTCTGACATAGGTGACTAATCTGTAATGCTATTAACAACAGACCAATATTGATTTGGATGCTATAACCCTGTGCTTAATAAACTCATGCTGAATACAAACCAGGATCTGTTTCACAGAGACATAACTAAAATAGTCTGAAACCGGCCAAGGAAATTTCTTCCACATGCTGTTTAGCACTGTAACTTCTTTAGTGCGCCTTTCTTTGCAAATTGTGTCACATTTTCAACCAGCTTAACTTACAGTCTCTCCATTTAGGTAAAAAGATCATGCATGATCCAATGGCTATGAGGCCATTTATGGGATACAATTTTGGAAAATATCTGGATCATTGGTTATCATTGAAGAAAGATGGAAGACAGGTAAATATGGGATTTTTTTTGTAAGAAAGTATATGGCATATAAAAATGATTTATCATATTTTGTATTTTGCCATGATTTTTGTGGAAGTATTATAAAAAAAACATACAAATATTTGTTTGATTTATCTAATTATCCAAAATAGATAAATTGGAAAACTTCCAAGCAATTTACCAAGTAAACATATAATTTATGCCAAAAATAATTATCATGTTTCTATTTATAGATGCCCAAGATATTCCATGTAAATTGGTTCAGGGTGGATGAACACGGCAAATTTTTATGGCCAGGATTTGGTGAAAATATCAGAGTATTAGACTGGATTATCCAGAGATGTCAAGGAAAAGATATAGCTGTCAAGAGTCCCATTGGCTATTTACCAAAGAAAGGTTAGTGAACTTGTGATGTTGGCCTGTGGTCAAAGGGAGATAATTTGAAAATTAGATCAAGGTTACGATCAGAACTACCAGCCAATCCAGACCGCCTCTTCCTATTTCTTAATGAAGTATTTGTTCCATCTTGGACCTGTGTATTTAAGAGAATCAAACCCTTCCAAACCCATAGGTAGATTAGTTAACTAATCTACACCTTGTTAAAAAGGTATTAAGATTATGACATTTGAAATGAATGATTTTCTTTGTGATACATGTATATTGCATTGGAGTAAGTTCACTTCATTTGGTTTCTGTCCCTGTTTGTGGTCTAAGGGAGATAATTGGGAAAATATTTTACCAACTCATATTTCTATTGTAGGTTCAATTAAAATGGAGGGTTTAAAAGATCCAGTCAACTGGGATGAATTATTCAGTCTTCCCAAACATTACTGGTTAGATGATACTCACGAGAGTACCAGATTTTTAGAAGATCAAGTGGGCTGCGATGTTCCAGAGGTCATCATGAAATTACTTAAAGAACAGGAAGAAAGTTTCAAGAAGATGTAAATTGGATTCTGCATAATGCCAGTACGCATGTAAATATTTTTTAGCAATATATTTTGTCCTGTGGCACAGTTGAGATCTGAAAATCTTTTCTGCAAATTCATCATTCCAGCATCAAAAAAATTGTACAGAAAAATTTAAAATGATTGTGTTCAATTAAAATTCAGGGCCCAAAAAATCTTGGTTTGTGGTAAGTGTGGAATTGGACATTAAGAAATATAATACTGAAGACACAATTAATTGTAAGATTATTTGTGAAATGGGATCCAGCTCTTTGAAACATCAATCTAAAACTTCTAAAGTTAAAGAATGACACAATGTTATGTTTGGGATATTCATGCATTAACGACCAATATAATGTTATTGGTTTGTATTCAATTGATATACTTTGTATCTATTCAATTTTGTTATTGTTCGTAGAATTCCTTTAGCATTTATCTAGTGTTCTAATCGTATTATATATATTATTCAGGAATTACTTAATTATTGGCACTTGTTTGTATGTGGCACCTCACAATAATTTAAGTGTATTTTTTCTTTAAGATTATGAAATATTAGTGCTGTCTTCATTCAGCATGCAGGTATCCATTTTGCTCAAATTGAAGAGATCAATATTTGTATTGATATATAATGAAATTCTGTGGATACAGGACCAGTTTGTGTTATAAACTATACATATATTATATTATGTTTCTTTATTGTAAGCTAGTGCTATATTAAATGTTTGTTATAGAATAATGTCTTGTATATAACTTGTCAATGTTATTAAATACAGCTCTAGGACGTTGTTTCACAGCCCTTGATAGTAGCTAAACCATGAAGCTATTAGAGCGGTCCTTTCCACTAGCACCCATTTAGTCGCGCAATTGCATATCCTGTTCTTTTTTTCAAAGAAAAATCAATAGCAGTTTACCACCTTATTACATTATTTACAAGTAAATGAATTTTTCCCAATTTTATGGAGGTAAGGAATTATATTCGCAATTATACAGTTCATTATACTGGTAGTCATTGGTAATTGTAACTGTGTGCCCATCAAATATTAGTGAATTTTTCCTGTTTATTACATGTGCATCAACATCTATGATTGACAATAGTTCATTCTGATTCCATTGCATTGCATCTGAATTTCTAAATCCCACAAATACTGAGGTTCCTACTACTCTGGAAATCCCACAATAGCCACAATATTCACAGGGTTAAAAAAAAGAAAATACTTTTGAGAAAATCAACAATACACTTTAATATTGTCTACTTCTAAATTAATTCTAACAATATATTGTACTACTAATAATAAGTGATATGAACATTTTGCAATTTTTAACAAGGCGTGTATTCAACATTACTCTCAAAACTCTTGCCATTCAACTTTTACGAAACAAAATACTAATGGTATTTGATGCATATATTCTGAAATTGTGACAATTATCTGTAATATTTAAGCTGTTTGGTTCTCAGCAAGTATTTTATGTGTCATTTCACATGCTTTAAGTACCTGTGGTTTCAATATATTCAAAACATATCCTGGTTGTCTCAGCCCCACTTCCCAATACTTAGTTTAGGTGATATAGATGGGACAAGACTACAACCAATTTTAAAAGTAGAATCAGCAATTTCTTTTTTTCACATGAATAATACCAAAGCACCTAATCACATAGGTTTAACATCAAATCTTTTCCCAAACTCAACTAACAACCATGACCACTCCATTGATATAGTTTGTAATAATAGATACAATCTGAACACACCAACTAGAATAAACACTATGATTACATCCACTGGAACATCGAGTAGCCATAACTATATAATACTGTATCAAATAGCATTTATCAAAAAACAATGAAATATCTAAAAACTGCATAGTCAATCTCTATTTATACAAGTCTGAATCTTTCCAACTCTTATCTGATCTTTGGTATTTACAATGATAGATGTCGATTAAGTGGAGTGGGAATAACAAGCCTTTGAAGAAAGCAGGTTTTTTGATTATTATAATGTTCACTTTTGAACAATTTGGAATATACAGTTACCGGTACATTAAAAAAATTACTTTGGAAATGCAGAAAAGATTATAATACAGCAGAACTTGTTTCCGTGAATCTACCTGCATGACATCTCTCAGAGATCAAATAAGAGTCAACAAGTTGCAGACAATATATATACATGTACCTGATTATGTTTAAAAGTGCATTAATCTAAATCTCTCTCAAATAACAAACAACATTTATCCACAATTTATGACAAAAAAACCTATCTGTGTGTAATCATTGTTATAAACTGTAACAGTGAGAAATTTTTGTCATTCTAAACCTTATATCCTATCCTATCCTATACTTCTTGTGTACTTGTAATGTTTCAAGTCCTGGGAAACCATCTTTTTCTATAGCAATGTGCCATTAAATTTATAAAAAATGTTTTGATTTAACACAAAATGTGCTGAAAGGCTGACTTAAAAAGATATTTTAAATTCATTGAAGTCATGAAGCCTTTCTGAGAATAAAATCTTTCTAAAAGGGTCACCTATCAATCTGTCATATACAAGGCATCATTTATGACCATTTCAGTTTTGCATTGTTTCAGCAGCCATACTGCACACTTAATTATTCAAATATATTAATGCTTGAGCGAAATAGCATAATAAAGTACATAATAACAGCATTTTATCAATTATTCACATGGTGTATATATGCCCCAATATCATTTGAGCCAAGATAAGTGATAAAATCATCATCAAGATACAGTGGCAGGGAATTTAAAATCTAATTCTCCAGTTTTAGGATTAAAATGAAAGTTAATATCGACATGTTGATCAGGTTGTATGGATATTGGTTGTTTGTATAGATGAACAGCTTGTTGAGAATAGTAGTCCCATCGAACATTAGTTTCACTAACAACTGGTAATAACGGCCCATTTGATATCACATTATTATCACTAAACTGATATTCTACCCATAATGCAATACCATTCAATTCACCAGACCTAATAAAATTAAGATGGGTTAAAGCTACATATTATATTAATACTGTACGCAAAATATTTTCTGTATACTGTGACCAATTCACAAAAATATCAAAAGTTTATTTGTATTCCAGTCGTTTAAATAATTACTTACTTGTTTTCATTGTTAAAAATATCAGGAAAACATTGTTAATTATTTTGGACAATACCACAGGATCTTTCCACAAAATGATTTCACTCAATCTTATATACATTTTGTTATTCGTTGGCAAAAATTTATCCTGATGTGTGTTTTTGCTTAGCAGTTAAATAGAAACACACGATTATCTGAAACAAACAAAGTAAAATACTTACACATTGAATGGTAGTTTAGTAGTAGAAGATACAGGTTTAGTATCAAATACTGATTTTGACCAATCCAACTGAGCTATAGACACTGGATCTGTTAGAGGTAAACCTGGATATTCCCATAATGGCTGACGTTCTACATTAATATCAGACTTTTCAGATGACTTCTGAAATAAATACATTTTATTTAAAAATCTGTCATTTGATTATCATATTCATTTACAGTCTCTTAGAAATTAGCATTTAATTTGCACTCATTGGGATATTTTTGTATAAATATCACAAGATCAGTGGCATATTTAATGACAACACGAGAGATCAATGCTATCCAACACAATCTTGGAACTTGGGCAACCAGCTTTCATTATAAATTCTTTCTAACCGTGAATCACCACCATAAAAAAAAAAATCACCACCATAAACATATAGAATATACCTGTATAATGTTGTCAAATATATCTAAATCAAACCCTTCACAATTACCAACAGGTGCTCTAATCTTCCACAAATCTTTAAACTGCATTCCTACAGCTTTAATAGTCATCTGATAGGGTAAGATAGCTACATCAGGCACCATGAATTGTCTGAGTTCAGATACAGCATACCAGAAATACATATTCTCCCAGGGTAAGTTAGACGACATGAAGAATGGTTCACCAATTACTACATTAATCTGAAAATAACAACATTTTTTAAGATAAAACACTGAATAGATAGCTGTGTGACCTTTTCTAAGCGATACAATGACAAATTACTTGGTGGGATGGAAATAAGGTGTTTTGAAGGGTAACTACTTTACATGCATGTGCAATGTTTGCTGAAAAGGGTCTTGATTTCTAAGGAGATGACTAAAAGACCATAGTTTTGTTGATCGCAGGTTTTGAGTCTTATAAATGCCATACTATTATTTTGAAATGGGAAAGATCTTTCCAGAAAAATGTGAGACTGAAGACAAATAAATATATTGGGAAACTTCTTGAAAATTTAAATCAATCATCGAAAAATGTATTGTATGAGGGACATGAAAAGAGATATGTTTATAGCAATCAATTACAAACCTTGTATTTAAATAAATCTTCTGCTGTAATATCTTCTAAAGGTTTAGTAAATACTGTTATTTTATCATTCAGTCTATTATAATTTATATAGGATTTTAATACTCTCTCACACATAGGATTCGATTCTATTACAAATACCTAGAAAATGGTAACAAATTATTAACAAATATTTAGATAATATGCAAGTATACCTAGATAATACCTTGAAATTATAAACAAATACCAAGAAAATATTGACAAGTACCTAGAAAATATTTGAGAAATTTTAACAAATACCTAAAAAATATTTACAAATACCTAGAAAATATTTACAAATACCTAGAAAAATGATTACAAAAACCTAGAAAATATTAACAAATATCAATTTTTTATTTTACAAATAATCAAAAATACTTTCAAAATTCATGAAATTATGATAAAACCTTCATTATCACATACAACGCAAAAGCTAATTAAATCTAATAATTACCTTTTTTGCGCCTAATTGAGCAGCCATCAAGGGAAGTAAACTTCCATCACTTATACATAAACATATAGAGTTGGTCGTTAGATTCTAAAATACAAAACAGAGAAATTAATCTTTGAACAGAAAGGGAAGAAGAAAACTTAGAGATAATAGAAATGATAGAATAATTTACATACATGTACTGTTATGTTTCGGAAAATATGTTTTGCTTACTTTGAACTTTTCTTAAAAGTTAAGTAAGCTTTCAGAATATCTGGGTGAATGTACATTCATTTTCAGAACACAATAACTACATTCTTGACATTCAGTTAAGCCAATCTCACAAGAACAAGAGTCAACTAATATGAAGTATTTCTGGATTACCTGTTTTAAAACTGAGATAAAGACATCATTTCTTCGTGTATCATTAATCTGACCTATTCTAGTTCTACTGATGGATGTATGTATACCACATTCACAGATTGGTCTTTCTAATTCTGCTGGGGTCGTACTGCAAGTAAAAGCACATCAAACATAAAATTTTTAAAAATAAAAAGATATTTCAAATCATCATTAAAATACTTACCATAGTAAGAAACTTAAAAGTACATGTGGTATAAAATATCATAATGATATTTAACCAGACCAATATACATAAATCAAGCCAAGGCTTTAATCAGAAATCAAAACTAATTGTAAGAAACACTTATAACTATTTTGGATACAGTATTTATAAGTATAAGTACATACTGAAATTCATTTTGATAATTCTACCTATTTTATTTGGACTTTACAGTACAGATTACTTGGCATTGTGAAAACATAACACAATATACATAATATGTTAAAAACTTACTCATGACTGTCAACTACTTCAAACCATAAACTATATTCATCATGACTACTCAATATTTTAACAGATTGATTTACATCAACTGTTATAGGTACTGTAGGGTAATATATAGCCTGCATCCAATGGTCTCTCCACTGTGATAGAAACAAAGAAAAAAAAGAGGACAGTGGCATTAGCAAGGGGAAACTGCTTTGACGAATCTGGCACACTGCAATCAAAAATTTGATAAAGCCCCTACTCCAGCTAGAAATTTGATGATAGATATACCTATAATTACCTGAAGCCTATCACCATCCGGATGTGCCCAGCGAGGAGCACAACTGAGAATGACCTCCCCTTGTGGATCAACTTCTATATCCCACCACATCAATACAGCATCAACACTGCCCTTATTTAAAGATTTAATTATAACTGTTGAATTATCATCTTCAGGAATTCCTTCTTTACTAGCAAAATCAAACCTGTAAGGTAATTAAGGAGTTGTAAACCAGGAAAAAAATGCCTCCAGCAAACACAACCCTCACGTCCATCTACACAGAATATGACATGGTAGCATTGAGCCACCAAAATGGAATAATAGCTCAACCTCTAAAATGTCATCTAAATGACAAGCTATAATGAATTTTGTTTATTACCTTGACAATATTTGGCACTTTTCACTTTTTAAATACAGCCAATCACAGCCCTCGAAAACACACACAGTCATATTGTTAACAATCTTTATGTTGAGTGCTTTGATTGGCTGTATTCACTAGTGTACAATCCAACCAAAACCTAACGTTATTTCAAATTACAGAAACATACTGCAAACACTAATGAACAGACCTTACCTAAAGACCTGTACTGGTTGTGATATGGGTGTAAATAATGTAGAATCTAGTTGATCTAACTGTATATCATGTAAAGAAGCAGCTCCACTACATTTACAACATGCTAGAGGTGGGGAAATAGCCCTAGATTCACTTGTTTTTATTGGTTGTAAAACATTCCATTTCTTGATGAAATCTGAAGACACTAATTGCACATACATATTAGCTGCTCTGGGAATGACAAGACATTTTTTCTGGAAAATAATAAAAAAATATTCAAATATGAAACACTTAAAATGTTATAAATTATTGATAAGTTAATCACATTATCAGTTCAAGGTAATTACCTTTAAATGTCAATTCCAACTACAACAGAAATATTTAGAAATAGAGTTTAAATTCTTTGAGTAGTTATTTATATTATGTTTTTAATATCATACAAATAAGAAGATCGAAGGTCCTAAATTGACTGTTAAGAAATTTAAGGATAAGATACCCTTTTCAGTCTGTGTATTAAGGGTTGTCAGTGAGCCTATATATATCCATGTGCTGTATTTACCTCTAATAAATGTTTATGAGCATGATTATAAGTTCCTATAGCCCCTTCTCCTATTAACTCTGTATCAAGAACTTCAGTTACTAAAATATTGGCTCTATCTTCCATATCATTACCTACAAATAAGCCAAATTAAGCATAAGAATATCTTTGGCATTAAACAGGAACAAGGAAGAAAATTTTCCTCTAGAACACCCTTGATCTGCCTGGTTTTGCTCATCTGACATGCAATAAGATTAAAATACTGCTTTAAAACCCTACTAAAAATATTCAAACACTCTTGACTCTAGCGGCGGGTATACTGGCAAAAAATTTATGCAATATTTGCCCCAGCGGCTGTAACCATATAACATTTTTTTTCCTCAAGTTATATCACTGGGAGTTTAGGATATATGAAGTATTATTAGTTCAGGGTAATGTATGTCAGTACCAAATAAATCGATATGTATCAATTTTACCTGGCCCTGATTTCATTTCTGTTGATCTTTTTGGAATTAACTTAATCTGATCAGCATAATTATTTTTCTTTATTATTTCTTCAGCACATTTAGCCATTGGTTCAAAGGCCTAAAATAGGAAGGAATCGATTATTACAGTTGTTTGGGCAGATTTATGATTCCTGCAACCTAATAATTCAAAATTTTTATTTTCTCTCTTGTCTGCTATATTTTTTCTAAAGACAAAATGGTTGATGACAAAATTGCTTAATTGAACTTGGACCTTGCTTAAAGTAAAAAGATAAATGAAACCTACAATCCAGTCCAAAAATGACAAAAATGCTTAGTCTGTATAGAGAATTACCAACCTCACAAGCAGTAATTTGGTCCGCACCAGAAGCAGCTGCCATCATAGACAATAAACCAGTACCTGTTCCAATATCTAATACTTTAGCTTTTTCACCTCTAGCATGTATCATCTCTATAGCTTTCTTTACACCAGTATAATACTTCTTATTCTAAAACATATAATACAGTTTAACAATGGCAAAAAGGCAACAATTACATTGAGTGTGAAGGAAGATTACAATATTTTTCTTAAAGGTGTAGGCTTTATCTCAATGAAATTTGAAATGGATCTGAATATGTACCAAATTTTATCATTTAAATAATTCAGAAGTATGAGAAATCTTTATGAATTTCCACACATTAAAAATGATTAATATTTACCCTTTCTGTATCGTGTAACATATCAGCATACGCAGATCTGAAATTATTAATAGAATTAAATACACTCTATGGCCTTAGTAGCCTAGAAAAGGGCACTGCAAAAAGGGATCAAGAGGTGGATCATTTCATTATCATAGTCATAGAGAAACTAGGCAGACGGGAGATATCTTGAGAGTGTTTGATCTACACATAGTCTAAAAGGCTTCGAATCTGATGCCATTTATCGATATTGATGCGGATATGGATAAGTGATATGATGATAGTTTATTACCTGGCTATTTCTTGATGATAATCATACTCTTCATCTTGTAATATCCACTGCATTTTACCAGTTATAGGACACAGCCTGGAAGTAAACGTGCTCATTTTGACCCTTTGTTTTATATGATTGAAAGATTCCACCCAAAACGACGATAAAACATTAAAAACAAATAGCATTTCATAGTATCCAATAATATTTCATGGAGGCTGCCATCTTGTTTAGGGGGAGACAACTCTTCTTGAATGAATTATGCAAATTAACGAAGTAATTAAATGTAATTATATCCTAATGAGGTCTTTGGTGGCAATTCGTGTTATTTTTTGTTGTGTAAACTGAAGAACATTATTTTCACGATCAGATTTGATGTTTTGAAATAAAAACATAGAAGTATAAATGTTTGATAAAAACAGTAAAACAGTTGAGGGGAGAGAACTCCATTTCTTTTTACTACAGACTATAGCTAATATAAAGCGATCGTTCTGTGACATGAGTCGTGGAAACCAATTAACTAGGTCTCACCACAAAAGTCTTAATTTCTGTCAATCTGGATGTTTGAACTTCAAAGAATAGCTAATTAAAAAATTAGCAGCCATAATCTCGTTTAATTCAGATTATAGCCTAATCAAGTCTAAATCTTGTAAATACATTATCATCTTCAAGGTGACGAAGTCACGATATTTGAAAGGATTCTTCTTAAAGTCGTGTTTCTTTATTGACTCAGATACTTCAAAACGTGACTCCCAAATTTCTTCTTTATTTTGTATCTTTAAACTTACAATTTTCAAGAGAAATAGTCGATACAAAGTTGACATCAAATAGAAGATTAGAACATTAAAAGATCAAAACAATATTTAAATCAGAAAATAATTTTTTCTGTTGATATTTTGCAAAATACTTCTTGGACGAAACAGTAAGTATTTTATTTATTTTCATAGTTTTTTTTTGTAAAGCCTGTTCAATTGAAATAAATGCAGTCAAACATCCTACTGCATCTGATTGGGCTAATGATGATGGACAACGCCTAGCAGTGTGCAGTGAGGAAATATCTGCCTGGACAGCAGATTAGTCTACTCTTGCGTCAAAATATTTTTTTAATATCTTATTTCATTTGTCTGAAGATCACATAGCCTGAAACTCCGAGTAACAACATGTTGCAAGTTCTGTTTTAATATTTCTAATATCTTATTTCATGTAAGTTTATATTTGATCTACAGAAGAAGATGTCTGCAATGGATGCAATAAGTAATGTGCCGCCTGCTCTAGGAGGAAATGGAATGGCGCTAAATTTGAATTCATTTCTACAGATGGTACAATTAGCTACGATACAAGCTCAAACCAGAGAAGTTGGTTGTCAAACTGGAATGGGTAAGATGCAATTTGTCAGTCCACAGAAAAGTGCCAAAACAAGTGTCGTATTTTCTATTGGTGCTCTATACGACAGTTTCATGTATGGGATTAAACAATGTGAATGTCAAGAAACGCCTTGGCAATTACCTTTTGACAAATCAGTAGGTGTGTTTTGCATTTCGGTTTAAGTTGAAGGAGACATCATTTTAAGGCTCTGGAAGATCAAATATGCGACAGTTTTCTATGGCCAGAACGGAACAATGTTTGGCAAAACGCCCCCATTCGCGTCCATACTCTTCCAGAACGTCTATTAATTTTTCTATGAAAATCTCTTTGAATCAGATGATATTTCTCACTCGCTACTTTCTGGTATTATAGAATACACGATGTGAAGCGACAGGAGACTTAGAGATGAAAGTTGATATTCAAGGTTTACCTATAACAGATAGTATTAAAAAGCATGGTTTCCATATCCACCAACTAGGGGATATAACTAACGGATGTGATCCTACTGGTGGTCATTACAATCCTTTTAGTGGTCAGCATGGAGGTCCGGACACTCAAGATAGGTGGGTACTGATTACTGACTGTCAGGATATATAGACACCTAACAGTCAAGATAGAGAATACAATGCAGGATTGGTAGGTACTGAGCAGTCACGATAGATAGATACGGTCGGTCGATATAGATAGATCAGAACAACAGGGTAGATATGTCAATGCAGTCAGGATAGATAGATACAAAGCAGTATAAATAGATATATAGCAGCTAGGATATATTATAGGTAACAAACAATCAGGATAGATAGGTATAAAGCAGTCAGATAGATAGGTAACGAACAGCCAAAATAGAGAGGTACGAAGATAGAAAGGTATAAGGTACTAGACAGTAAAGATAAATATATACAAAGCAGTCAGGATAGATAGGAAGGAGTTCGGCAATATATATTATGATATATAATAGGGGAAGTATGAGTAGAGGATCATGTGCCCTTCCGATCGTTGCTAGAGCATTTGCTCAGGGTGTTCCTTTAGCCTCGTGATTATGATTAAGAGTTTAAATTCCCGATAGCTTCATACATGTATATTTTTCAGACATTATGGTGACTTAGGGAACTTGGAAGAAGATAATTATGGTAATATAAAAACCATTTTAACTGATAAAGTAGCTACATTGACTGGTACATATTCTATCAATGGTAGATCTATGGTGGTAAGTAATTGAGTACATTGACGGCAAGTTTCTGTCGAAATATCCTCAAAATGCTTTATTTAATTGATATGTTGGCTTTCTGCAAGAGTTGCCAAGTTGACAAACCCAGCCGTAAATGGCTTGGCAACTGTCCTAAATGCTACCTGATGATCAGTCGAGGCGTAACCCTATATGGACTTTGCGACAAACAACCGTTCAGCTTTGGCAACTACAAATACATATTTATAGGCAACTCAGAATCACAAGAAAATTGCAGAAAATATTAACCTGCTTTTTATTTCATCCCCCATCCTCCTCCATACTTCCATGTCCTCTTACGCCATTTCGTATACACATTATTAGCCCGACAAATCCGGCACTTCCAGTTCCTCGGACGTGATATGCAGATGTGATATTGACTTCTATGTAACCGTGATGATATCACATTCGTATATAACGCCCGAACGGATGGGGCCAGATTGGTCGGGCTAATAATGATATTTTCATCATTATAGTTGCACAGTAGAGAAGATGATTTGGGAAGGGGAGGTAATACAGGAAGTTTGTCGTCTGGTAATGCTGGTTCGAGAATGGGATGTTGTGTTATTGGTTATTCGGATGGGTCAAGGTGGCAAGGTTCAGCCGCACGATTGTCTAAAATGACCATGAGAAAAAGGCCAACCAGAATCATTCATGCCCCTGTTGGGCGATAACCGGATTAATCTCACAAATTTGACGCATAGTACCTGCATAATATGACATTTTAAATGATGCTGATGGTTGAACACTATATCTAAATGAGTGTACATAGACTTGAATCATATGATTGCTAAGAAGGATAGAGAAGGACAGGGGTACCCTTTCACTTTTGTAATGAGTGCATGCCTGTGCCTGTGCTTTCGTAAACTTTGCTTTACCGCAATTTTACACCCTTTTAATTTCTAAATAGAATGTTTTTGTTAAGCTTATAACTTCTTATAACTAAAGTAATAATCCTAAGCTATGTTGGATTTGATGAACTCAATATCTTAACCTATTAAAACATTACCACACAAATGTACATTTTCAAAATTTAATACTAGACTACATGTATTAACAAAACAAATCATAATAAATGAAGTGTAATATCGCTTAAATTTGTAAATAAACTTCTTTTATATAGATACATTTTACCAGCCATATGCTTTGACAAGACGTTGTGCTCGAGCAATGACGTCATTACTGTAATCATCACCAGTCGTTTTATCATCCATTCCAGGAATAGTTTGAACATTGCCGGGACCGAAATTGTAGGCTGCTACCCCTCCTGTAAAATATGTAAAGATTGGTATGAACTCTACCCCCAGAAGCCACTGATTAAGCCATCGATGAAGCTTAAGGAACAAAATGGTGACTGCATTTCAGATAGCTAAACTGCACGGTATTCATTGCTTTGAAGTAAACTAGTGTCCAAAAGAAACGATACCGCCTGTTTGCAACGACATAAAAGAAAAACTAAACAATGCAGAAGTTTAGGATTGGTGTTATGCTTTTGAGAAATCCTTTCACAACATCTGTACAAAAATTTCATTTCAATAAAATCTGTACAACCAATATGACAAGCCTTTAAAGATGGGTGGGGTCGAAAAAAGAACATTTCGTTAGAGCACTGATCACAGAAACAACGGGAAATGTCACACCACACGTCACAAAGTCAAGTCAGTAGCGGGTATGTCCACCGTGAGCATCAATACATGCCAGAACACGCCTACGGACTGATGCCGTCAAACGTCTGATGACGTTGGGAGTGATGCGTTGCCATTCCTCGAGGAGACATCGTTCCAAGTCCTGGACGTTGACTGGAGGCACACGGCGACGTCGGATTTGCCGATCGACGTGGTCCCATAAGTGCTCGATGGGATTCATGTCCGGTGAACATGCGGGCCATGGCAAAACCTGTACGTTGGCGTTGGCAAGGAAGTTCTGTGTCAATCTTGCTGTGTGTGGCCTTGCATTGTCATGTTGGAAAAGGAGTCCACGAGGCTGTTGCTGAATAAAGGGCACCACAACAGGCCGTAGGATGTCATCAATATAACGCTGTGCATTCAGGTTTCCTCGTAAACGGCCGGACCTGTTGGATATAGTTAGGCGCCAAACGTTCACCAAATCGTCGGTATACAAGCTGCCGTCCATCGTTTTTGAAGATGAGGAATCTGCTCTCATCAGAGAACATAACACGTGCCCAGTCCCGCCGTTGCCAACGTCGAACTCGCCTGGCCCAGATCAGTCTGTTGTTCCGGTGTCGAGGCGTCAGGAGTGGTCCGCGGTAGGGATGACGAGGCCGGATACCATACTGCCGTAGTCTCCTGTAGACGGTCTGTCGACTGATCCTGTGTCCCAGTGCTGTAGCCGCCGTGGGCGTCGCTGTTACGGTGCGGTTCCTCACGTGTAATACCCGGATGTAACGATATTCACGGGGCGTGGTTACTCGTGGTCTTCCACTTCTGGGCCTGTCTGACGTCTGACGTAACCGCTGCATCAACCTGGTGATAGTGATGCGTGCGCAGCCCAACCTTCTGGCGACGTCGACGTGTGTCGCTCCTTGTTGGACCATTCCAACGGATCTCTCTCTCGATGGCTGTCAAACGTGGCATATCTTGTGTTCTTTTTGTTGCTGTGATATCAACGTGTCTGATCAGCCGTTTTATACAGTTTTTATGCACGTGCAGAACATGCTAGAGAGGGAAATGTCACTTTCACGAAATTTACGTTTTTTCCCGGAAGTGATCACGTGTTCCCGGTATTTTTATCGACTATGCTGTGTTTGGGATGTGCAATACGAATTGGCATGTTTTCATATTAGACAATTCACTTAGTAAAAAACAATTTTGAAAATAAGTTGGTATCGTTTCTTTTGAACACTAGTTTATATAACGAAAGGCACTACTTACCTTTAAGTTGGTACTTCGCAGCCCAACTTGGATGATTACGTTTGATAGTTTTAACAAACGGCAATAAGACTGTTTGAGTCATATGGTTGATATGGTCACAGCTGTCCCATTTGTATTTTTTACAATCTTGTCCGGATTTGTGTAAGTCACACTAAATGTATAAAAAAAAGAACTTCGTGTGTGCTTAGAGCAAACCAAATCAGATCCGTAGTTACAGTAGTTGCGGTCCCTTTATTCCATTAGACAGTTTCTCAAAGGACCGCGGAACGTAAATACTAAAACTAAGCATAACAGATACACATCACACCATTTTCATGGGTATTAAGAAGAAGAACTTGCTTGGAGGTTTGAAGTTACATGAAAACTATATGCAAACGACAACGAAAGATACGCTTGACTAATAACCATCGTATCCCGAATACGGGTTTTGACATTTATGACGAATGGGGGCGTGGTTAACATACCACCTCAAAGATACATCTAAGAGCCCAACACGTCTTTTAACTAAAACTGGGTAGTTTTACCTGCATGATGCCCCACGCTTTCTTCTTATCTCCCAATCCATTGCTAGCATACAACAGTCTACCTCCCCTTGACTCACGACTGGCAATAGCTGCAATAATCGCTGGATGGATACCTGTATTATAAAACGGAACACAAAAGGGTATAAATTTCTGTGTCAAACCCCCACATCCTGGGTTCGTTTTTCCAGCTGATAAAAGATGTGAATGCCAAAACAACGAATTACTTAAACTGAAATTTGACACATTGATCAATAGCTACAACTTCAATTATTGAGTGAGAACTTACAACTGTTTCTTCCGGCTCGGATGTAACACTGTTTACGTTTGTTCAATTCAGCTAAATCAGTATCCAACATCTTATTAGACGCGCGTACTCCTAAAAACAGAAACATCATGTTTATCATCATCACTCAGTAATAAACCAAGAAATTGTTTCTTTCAGTTTGAGTCTAGTTATCGAGGACAAAACGACAGAAAATCATCGTGATGGTTTGCTTCTGCATCCTCTCTGTACATCGATTGATGGTCATCTGTCGCACCAATGGCACACATTTCGATGAACTTTCGCCCTTCGTCTTTCTAAAAAAGTGCCACAATATTCTTGTTATGTTATGGAATCATCAGATCATAAGATAATTGAGGCATTTATCTTTTTATAAAAATAGAAAACATGTATACCCTTTGGAATTCTTACCTGTATATTTCAACCAATCTTGTCCAGAAGTTAATTTGCCGGCCCCTGTTGGATTCAACTTCATAAAATCACCATAACACTGGTAGGAAACTTAATCATAAAACAAACCAATAATCATTAGCGAAAGAAATATTTTGGAAAATGAACTCTGAATATTGGACTCTGAAAGATATGAGACTCTGACCGAAAAAATTCTCTTCATCTATTTCACGCACGCATAGGAATATTACAATTGAAGAATTTACAGATTTTCTGGTGTTCCAGGAGATTAGATTAAAGCTCATTGATATGATTTAAATATCTTACCTGGGGGTGGAGTTGTTTTAGTTGGTTTTGGAGTATTTGGAACACAACATTTGTAGTTGGAAGAACAAAGACCATTGACAAATCTTCCATTGTAACATGATGGCCTCCTGGACCAAAACCACCAACCACCGGAAGACCTTTTACACTGTCCTCCTCGATAGGTACATTGATCTAAAATATAGTAAAAGAACATTTTGTAAAATTCTAAATAAAAGAACAAGAATCTCATTTCCCATGTGTACACAGCTTTATCAATTTTTGTTACCGTAAAATAATTTATGCTCTTTTCCATTCTGGTTATGAATGGAGCAATCTTTGCATTGTTTTTCTTGAACGAAATTCTGATTTTTAAATTTCGGATTTATGGCAGAACGACAGACAATCCAAAACGCTAAACCTACCTGCGTTAACATAGAAACACAAGAGAGCAAAGACCACCAATATATATGCCATATATCCCATCTTGGACATATTTGTAATAGTGTGACAATTTAACAGTTTTGGTGGTTTAAATACCCCAATCCCGGATGGTGATTTTAATCTTAAACCATCACAATATATCCAATTTACTCCAAGTGCGTTATTTACGTAAAGGGCTATAATGTAAATTTCTATGTTAAAAAAGGTTAAAAGGGTTGTTCTATTTTCTAGAAAATTGGTAATTCAGATTTTGACTCAAACCTGCTCTCTCGATGAAGAATCTAAGGCTGACTTATTCTCAATGTTATCTATCACGAGTCGTTGACAGTTCAATTGCTCACAGATTCCATTATTTGCATGGACGATGGTTACACCTATTAAAGGGATACTACCTCTTAGAATTTGAAGTCTCAAACTTTGTCAATAAGAGTATTATGGACTTCCATGACTAAAGAATATAATCTATATATAAGACGATATATCCATGAAAATTTTTTTAAGCGGGTTTCAAAATTATTTAGTTTATTGGATAATTACTTAATTATCGTTTTGACATCTTCCTTAGAGGGAGCATACCATTAATCGAAAATTCGAAATTGCGTTCCTGTTTCCCTTTAATCTTAAACGGACAGTTGCAACAATTTATTTTTTGGATAACAGTAATAGTGTTCACAGCTCATCGTCGAAATTGGAGCATTTAAAGCCATGTGTATCCAAAATTATCCGCGTTGAGTGTTGAAATGACGACTTGTCTTTTTAAGATACTCTATGATATATAGAAAAGACATATGTAGAGTAGAATTCCTAGTTCCGAAGTATTTTTGAAAGAATTATGTGATTTTCTATCATTTTTAGTAATTCTGAAGAATTTGAACAGAAATCCCCCCCAAATGGCGTATCAGTTCCTTTAAATCAAATTAGCATGATTATCTTCAAGTTATTATTATACGACGTGAGATGTACCGGAGATATCAATAACGCACATCATTAGGCTATTGTTGATTATTCAACAAGGATGTTTGTCAAGGGTGTGTTTGTCATTATTCAATTTGTATGTGAAAGAAGGGTTTTTAAATATATTCTTTCAAGAAATCATCTTGTAAATGACAGAACAAACATTTTTCTTGTGTGTATTTGCGGGCAGTTTATAGTTGCAGTTTCTATTTTATTCTTTATTTTTATATAAACATAGCGATATTGATGTATGTAAACATCACTTGCATGTCCTTTATGTATCATTCTGATTAAAGCAAGAAAACAGCATGTGACATTCGCAGGTGATATCCCAGATGGGTGTTTTACCCTACAGTAGTCTTCTTTATTTTTGAAATAGGTTAGTTTTCAGATTTAACAAGTATGCGTCAGTAAGTCAACCTTTTTTGGTACTTTAAAGACGTAAAATTTGACTTTTTACTACCGAAAATGGTGACCGTACCTTAGAGTACTGTTATGGCTGTGAAGGTCAATTTTGACTTGGAGCCACCATCAGTTATAAACTATGACTAGGATTCATTTCAAATTTATTTCAGTTGATATTGCCAAAGGTTTTCAATAGAATTATCCGGTCTAGGATTATGTCTTCTAAAAATGTTTATATGGGACAGCCTCTTTAATGAAATCTCCATGTAAAAAAAATCACAAACATGAAAAGTCTTAAACTAACAAAGAAGGGGAATTTTGAAACCTTTCAATATATTTCTTCGTCGAATTTACACAAAGAGGATGTGAACAGGTTTTCTAATGCCCCTTTGGGACATAACCCTGTGGTTGAAAACCCTGTGAAGACCCTGTGGTCTCTCAGAAGAGTATTGGATCAGAATAAGCACCACAGCTACTTTCAGATTAATGGTACTTTTTCGCATATTGAATAAATATTGAGAAGTTCTGAATTACTAAAACTACGACCAATTTGTTATCATTTTGTTTCTTTCTGACGAAATGGAGTGTTGTGCCTTACGTTTCTGCATCTAATTGGTCATACGAGCACAGTGTTAATGTTAATTCGACGATTTGCTTATGAATTCAATATGCAGCCGAAATTCCACGAAATAAGATTATTCGTTTTCATGCCTAAGGTGGTTGAAAAGATGCCGATTATTTGGGACAGCATGACCTACAAAGTAGAATATATAGGTCAAGATAGAACGCCTTCAAGACAAGATAAAAGGAAGTAAGAATATTGTCTATACAATATATAAATAAAAAACAAATGTTGTAGCATATCTATCATATAGTGTGTTATGGTATACATTCTGACAACAGATAATTACCATTGAGCTGAGTACTGGTCTCTGTAACCTACGGTATACATTTTTAATTTATATAAATAGATTCGTGTGAGGTGTATAACTCCAAGGTGAAGATTCACAAAGCCATAGTTTTATGTTCTGTGTGCATTTTCAAACAACTTTCATACAATATAAAATATGTCATTCCGATTTAACTGCATATCTCAATCCATTTTTGTTTGTTTCGTGGGCCGTAGACTTCACCTGCTTTCCGTGCTCTGACGAAATACTCATGCATTTTATGTGCTTGACACCGACAGTCCACAGACAAAATAGGTAACCTAACATAACATCCAAATCTGCATTTTTATTAGATTTAAAATATCTAATATTTTTATGTCTAAAAATTGATGAAACCTTTTACCATGACATCTAATTTGATAAACTGCAGTCGACAATCCAGAGGGAATGGCGGTCAGCAGGTTACAGATATATTTTCTGTCCACAACCCACAAATAGTAATGTAGATGTTGAAAACGACCTGTTTGTGTTGTTTACAGGACCATGAAAAAAGTATGCTTTATTAATTACTGACAAACCAAACCTTGGTTATTACTGAGTCCTTGCTCAAACTAATCTTATTTTCCATAGTTCCTGAGAATTCTTTGGTCATCTGCCAGGGTGTAAAAGAATACTAACTAAATTCTGTAAGAGAAAGCACTGATTAATGAGTTAAAGTGGTCCTACTTTTCAAACCAGGAGTCTTCATTTTGAAAATACCGAGACACAATTCCACAAGTATAAACCCCAGCAATATTTGGTTATTATCGACAAAATTATTAGATTTAGCATATGCTTGTTATTTATACACTATGCGGTAAGCTTCCAAAAGTTTACCCTAAATCTACGTGATGTAACTGATCTAACAAGAAGTTTTCATAATACCATTGCACTTATATTAAATTTGTGGGAAACAAAAAGAAAGGATTGAATTTTCAAACTTTCTATTTGAAACCCATTTTTCTTCAATCTTTCTTTGAGAAATGGATACTTTAGTGATTAAATTAATTTGGCATTTTAAGATTATCAATGAAACCAGATGAACTTAAATTGAAATTAAAAACTATTTTAAGAAAATTACATCTAGTTTGATTACTGGAACTGTTTTTAGAATGATTGTCTATGTTTTGTGTCTATCAGAATGTGTTCAGTGTTATATGTTTTTTGGCAGGTGTATTAAAGTAGTTGGTATAGTGTTAAGTGTTAGGTTACAGATACCAGTCTGTGATTAGATAGAAGGGCACTGGGCTATAGAAGTTCCTGATAGTACCTAGTACTTTTAACTAATATCTACCTATGGCGCTCTGGTTTTGATTGTGATATCTTATATTTTCTAGATTCTAAAGATTGTTTTCGTAATTGTCTAGTAGCCTAGAGGTGAATATTATTTAAGAACTTATACCAAGGTATGTTATAATATATATTTATAGTAAGAAAAGATATATTTAGTAATAGTCTTGTTGATTCTACTTGTTAATGTCTGTCTGAATTTTTTCCTGGTCTTTTTTTATTTGTAAAGTTCAGTTGTAGTAATTGTCAGATTTCTTTCTGGGTTTTCTTTTATGAATATGAGCTCCTAGAGATGGTTTCACGATGTTTGGCAGCGGAAACAATTCACCCGGTTATATGTTGGGTCACTAACATTACTTGAAGCAGGTTTGCACCACCTAATCGCCTTCAGACAGAACTTCAAGTGATCTATCTGCAGCACAAGCTGTTATGAAGCAATCCATATGTTCGTTCCCATTTAATGCCGTAACAAAATAAATATCAAAATCAAGATCATTCTTGTGAGAATCTTTAAAGAATTACAAACAAGTGCGATTCAAATTAAAGACGCCGGCTATGTAACGCTGACGCCCTCCAGTCGTAAGTTTACTCACATTCTTTGTCCTCGAAGTAAGGGCCAATATATCTTGAGCAAGAACTGAGCTGTAAGATAAGGGAATGTACATTATTTTATATCCCTATCCCCAATGAATACCTTTTATAGTGAGCTACATTATTGGTATTTTATATTCAGAAAACCATAAAATCTGTAATAAACACTTCATCAATTTTATATATCTCATTAACCTCTCCAGTTACCAGCATATAAATATTGTGACTGGACGAATGGACGGTAGACCAGTATATAAATAGATCTTTATCTGCATCTGTTTCATTCATTCATTCATTCAGATCAAAGTGAAGTTAGCCTGTCTAACCTTGTATAACAGATACATCTATAGACCATCCTGTATCCTATTCGATAAGGATGCAGTATACACAAGCTTCTTATGAATCCATGGCGTCTAACAGCCCTTAGAGTCCCTCTGTATTGTTCCAGTGGAAGATCTTAGCAGATTTTCGTTCTGAGACCACTCTGTTCAAAGGGTGAATGTTTATCTGTCTGATGTATAGTTTCCCCTAGTAGCCCTTTGTCTTATTTTACGCGAAACTTTGTTCTCAATTTCACAAGGTCGTATAAGAGGGGTATAGAAGCTTATGATCAAACGGAGTAGTTCTCGTAAAAGGAAAGCTATTTTTCTGTCTGCAAGTTCCTATTTGCAGTGTTTGTTATGTGTGTTGAGCAGCTATGACGGATGTGGCGCCAAGCAGGGTATACTTACTCTTCTAGACACCTGATACCACTGCTCATTATGAAATACTTCACTTATGAATGATATACTTTATGATATGAAAAGCTCATTATCTGCTACCAATGTTTTGCCAATATTTCGGGTTTCGTTTTACGGTTCGGATCGTTAGGACATGGTTTATTTATCCAAAATCCTTCATGTCTGAGAAACCAATCTTCCTCACATCATAACTTTGATCGTACTTAGATATA